ACCACCCTGTTATGCCATCAAGCTTCAACGCTGCTCACGACCCATTAGGTGGGGTGTCAGGAACTGCTCAGTCTGCGAGTTCTGCACAGTCCGCTAGACCGTCTTCCGCGCCTGGTGGCGTCAGTGCGGACTTCACTCCTGTCACAAGCAACACAGACACATTTGCAGCAAGCAACACATTCAGCACCAACAGGCCTGTCAGTGCCAGTGTCTCAAGTAAAAGCGCAATCACCTCACTTTCTTCGTCTGTAGGTGCACCCACAAGCTCCAGCTCTACTCCACCAGTCAGTGTGAGTGCAGGGAGCAGTCACCACTCCAGTTCTAGTACCAGTAGTAGCCATAGCATCAGTTCCCGCACAAGTAGCAGTGCGCCAGCAGCAGCAGCAGCAGGCCCCACAGTGCCACTGAGTCAGGCCAGCAACACCAGCGCACCTGTAGCTGTACAAGCAACCAATAGCAATGTACTGCCCAGGCAATCAGCCCCTGTTCACTCCAGCAGGGTACACACAGCAGTCATGAGTGGAAGTAGCCAGAGACCAGCCCATACATTACACCAGTCTGTGGCCGCCGTCCCATTTGTACCTAGAGCCAGTTTCAGGCCTACACAGAGTGTGGCACATGGCCATGGCGGCAGCTACAATGATCTACCAGTACCAACTCCATCGAGACCATCTAGTTTTGCTGCACCACCAGCTGGAGCCACAGACGTCTTCAGCAAAATGAGAAGCATTTCAATACCCGTGTTTGATGGGGATAAGCGTGCCTATGAGTTATGGAAGGCCACGTTCCTGGCGTGCGTGGACAGTGCGCCAATCAGCCCAACCCTGAAGCTGTTGCAGCTACGACAGTATGTAGCGGGAGAAGCGCTAAGATGCATCGAGCGGCTAGGGTACGCCCCGGACTCATACCACAAGGCAATGGAACGCCTGGAACGGAAATTCGGAGGTACGCGGCGCCAAGTGATGGTGTACTTAGATGAACTGGAACGATTCAAGCCATTACACGGAGATCGAGTCAACGCACAAGATCTGGAACAGTTCTCAGATTTGTTGGAAGTAGCCGTGACCAACTTGAAAGCAGCGGGTCGCCAATCGGAGCTAGAGGTGGGCACTCTGTACGCGCGAATCCAGCAGAAGCTGCCAGAAGACCTGCTGACAAGATACCATAGGTGGCTCTATGAGCATCAGCGCCCAGAAGGGGTGGAAGCGTTGCTCGAGTGGGTCAATCTCGAGGCCGACTTTCACATTACCGCCAATGAAGCCATCGCAGGCCTAGCACCTGGTCGCCATAGACATGGCCGAGAGCGCCCAGCAGCCCGAGGCCACTCATTCCATGCAGCAGAGTCACCCAATCCGACACCGGCAGCGTGTCCAGTATGCTCCCAGGACCATCAAGTGTGGACATGCAAAGAGTTCAAGGAAATGGATGTGGACAAGCGTTGGAAAGTGGCGAAAACACATCGGCTCTGCTATCGCTGTCTGGGCAAGGGCCACCGAGGTGCTGACTGCCAGCGGAAGAGAAAGTGTGGCGTAGACAAGTGCAGCGATACCCACAACTATCTGCTTCACAGGGCAGTAGCCATTGACACGTCTAGAGCCAGCAATGGCACGGAAAGGGGTCGTACCAGTGAGACAGCCAGAACCACAACCACTGCTAACATCGGAGCAGGCGCCAGACCGTTGTCACTGAGAACCTTGCCGGTCGTTTTACGAAACGGTGACCGCAACCTCAGGGTGAATGCGCTGTTGGATGATGGGAGCACCCAAAGTTATGTGAACACAGAGGTAGCGGACCAGCTCAACTTGCAGGGACCCATGAAACAGGTTTCGATCAGCACCCTCAACGGAGCAGTGGAGTCTTTCGAGTCAATGCCAGTGGATCTGCTGGTAGAGAGTGTAGATGGCAAGTTCATCAGTCCGTTCTCAGCCATCACAACTAGTCACGTCACAGGCACACTGAAACCGTACGATTGGACCGTCGAGTCAAGTCAGTACCATCATCTGCTGGACATACCCTTCGAACAGCCAGCAACTCGCCAGATTGATATGCTGATTGGCCTGGATAATGCCGAGCTTCACTACTCTCTGGAGGAGGTGAGGGGTGATCAGGGAGAACCGGTGGCGAGGAGAACCGCGCTAGGTTGGACCTGTGTTGGACCTGTGAGTGGAAGCTCAGATCATCACCGCACTCACTTCAGCAGAGTCGATGACGGTAATCTGGAGATGCTGGTCCGGCGTATGTGGGAGGTGGAAGAGCCTCGCCGACAGAGCCCGCTTGCAGCAAATGACCGACAAACTCTTGCAGATGCAGAGGCAGCAACAAAGTACTGCAACGGCAGGTACACCGTCAAGCTGCCTTGGAAGAGAAGCCCGCCAGAGGAGAACGGTAGCTACGAGATGGCACTGAAGAGACTGCGCTCGACAGAGAAACGCCTCCACAAGGAACCAGAAGTAGCAAAGGAGTACTGCCGTGTACTGCAGCATCATGTGACCGCTGGATACGTGACTGCAGTAAAGCTCGAGTCAACAGGTGGTTGGTACCTCCCGCACTTTCCAGTCACCAGACCAGATGCAACAACAACTAAAGTGATGGTGGTCTTTGACGCATCAGCCAAATGCAAAGGAGCAAGCCTGAACGACTACCTCCACCCCGGACCGAAGCTGCAGAGAGAGCTACCGCACATATTGCTGCGATTCAGGGCAAAGCCAGTTGCTATCGTGGCCGATGTAGCAGAGATGTACCTCCAGATCGAGCTGTCTGAAGATGATCAGAAATTTCATCGTTTTCTGTGGCTGGACTTGGATGCGTCAAAGGAGCCAGTCGCCTACCAGTACCAACGGGTGGTGTTTGGCGTGAATTCGTCCCCATTCCTAGCACAAATGGTGTCTCAGAAGCCTGCTGAGCAGCTAAAAGAAGATGTCCCACGTACTGCGGAGGCGGTGTTGAAGTCGACTTTTATGGACGACACTATGGATTGAATTGCCCTAACAGTACAACAGTCGTCCAGTTCTGCAGCCATTTATGTTTCTGTACAGCTAGATTATAGCTCGTTACGTTTCGTTTTCTTTTCTGATAGTTCATATTTTGTTGTATCAACGTTGATACTTACCGGTAGTTGTATCAAGGAGGGTGGAATGAGTAGACGGTGAACCTCTTTCAGTAGTCTAAGTATGGTGTTATGGCAAATCACTGCCGCTAGCCTTTGGGTGTCATTACGTTCATGGTAATTCCAATGCATGCCCGCATCAACGTGCCCTTCTTTGGTGTCAGTTATGCTGTGTGCACGCGTAGAGGTGATACATTTATTGTTCCTGTGTGGACCAGTCTAATCATAATTATTCCTGGCTGTTCTTTTGTGCTATTCATGCTATTCATGATGCATGTAGTAGTAGTAGTGCATCGTGTTGTGTTATGCATGTCTCATGTGCCGTTTCCCGCGCGCGCGTGAAACCGACTTCGCGGCTTGTAGTTTCTGTGCATAATTAGTTGAGTCGGCGTCTTGTTGTTTGGACTGGAGACTACACCGAGTTGTGTTCTTTTCGTTGTTTCAGTCAGTTACAGCTTGCAGTTATTCCTCTCGTGTAGTTCAGTTGCTTTACTAGTGTCTCATCCTGAAGTAGTGTCTCTCGTCTAACTAGACTGAACCAAGCACGACGTCGGGCAATGACACGAAGAAACAACAAAGAACAAGCAGTAATAAAGCGACGACAATGTGGGAGCATCTATCCAACAACGAACTTCCTTGCCGTGGAGTATGGTGTTGTGAATGTGGGCCGAGCACACAGTGTGGAAAGGTGGACGGTTCAGATTAACATTCAGCTAATAAAATAAAATCTATTGTCTTTACTAACAATACCTCAAAGATTTGACTGTTGTCTCCGACTTCATTGATCTTGACAACTGTGCATGACAAAACCTCAGGTCAGCTGTCATTCAAGCATGGCCCAATGTTCTGGATCTGGCTAGACGACCCACAAAGTACATCGAATGAATTGAAGCCAACTGACATCTGCTTGACACTTCGTGAACTCCTAGCTAGATCACTGTTCTCCTCGAGGGAACCAAACAATCTCTCCGAATCAATGGATTCGAGGTGTGCAATATTTCAAACAATTACCCCGGCCAAACCTATGAATAATAACTATTACATCGGTTTTGAACCTGTTCATGTACATGTACATGTATATTTGACTAACGAGCTACCGTTTGGTGGATAATGCCGCCAAAATCAGCCGGATTTTGTACCGCACTTCTATCCTGTCTCTTGTCAAGCACCACGAATACCGCATTCGCCGATTTAAAGTCACATTCGATTGTAAGTCGCATCCTTATTTTCGTTTTAGTATACATACATGTACTGTATTCACTTCAGCACTGGTGATGATTGTGCTTTGCTTTGCCCTTAGAAGAGGCCTTCCCACACAGACTATAATGCAGGGTTCTGTGTGATTTGTGATGCTTTGTTGGCTCTTGCAAAACTCATGTTGCGATCAGGTTTTCTCCAAACCCCTTGTTTGGCGTTCTGTCACATACAGGTGTGGCGGTGCTTGCATTCATTTTGCTGACTTGATGACAGGTCCGAATTGCCTCAGGGAACCTACATGCACATGCCGTAGTGGGATGATCGGCCATTAGCTCACAAAATCTAGTTCCCTGAGCCCCTATTCAGGCGTCAGAAAAAGACCCATGTTCGGGTTTCAGGCGTCGACCACTATCTATTGGCTTCCGTATGCATTGCAATCCCGCGATATCCCCGGCCAATGTTTCGCAATTTCTTCCAATTCATCCCAGAACAGTGAGTTACTGAACGTCGGCTAACCTGAAAAGGGTGATTTGATGCTACTGTCATTCTGTCTTTCTGATATACCGTACTTTTAAAATTTTAAGCCACGTTCACACTCTGCCGCAACTGCATAGATAGTAGCTTCGTTGTTATTTCAACTGCGGCTGATTTTCAGGAGCTCACGCGGAACACCTCAATACGTGTACCTAGGGTATAAAAGTAACTTGTTTCCAGATAATTTTTATCTTTTGCTGTGATCATTTCCCAGATCTTTTCACCGGAAATTGAGAACGATCTCTCTTGTTCAAAGTGCAACACTTTTTGGTCAGACAGTAACCATGCTTGCCATGCTATTTTTTGCCCTGTTGCTCATCACCATCGGTGGACATGCTTCACCGCATGGTGGGCATGACTGTGTTGTTCAAATGCTCACCACTGCCGGCATAGGCAACTACAATGCTCATACTTACGCGAAGCGCATTGCCCAGGCCGACGTGGAACCGGACGAGCTTAAGGACGCAATTTCGCTGACTTTGCGAGTTGTCGGTATCGACGATGAGGAGGATCGGCAAAGATTCATCGCCTGCTATTCGTCGTTAGTGGGCGACTCCAAGAGGCTGTCTGCTTGCGTGGGATATAATCCTTGTGCGGCCAACTCTCGCTGCACAGCATTCTCTACCACTGCGAAGCCTCACTTTCTCTGCAAAGATTACGATGGTTGCCATGACAATCCCTGTTTGAACGAGGGCACGTGTAAGGCTGTTGACAAGAACTTCACTTGCGAGTGTGCTATTGGCTACACTGGACGGCGCTGTGAGGAGAAGTGGCAGACGAAGGCCAAGGAGGAGGCGCGTCTTGCAAACGTCATGACGTCCGTCGGCGATTCAGCGCAACTGCTACACAATGAGGTCATGGCTGCGATCGCCTCCCTGCAGTCATTGGTCGAAGGTCTGGTGTCGACAGTGTCGGGAATCGATAACAATGTTAAGGCAAGCAAGGCAGTTATTATCCCTAGCAAGCGCTACGTTGCCTATAGCGAGGAGCATCTTTCCTGGGACGGTGCCAGGGATGCGTGCCAGGCCCGCGGTGGAACATTGGCAGTGATCCGAAATGCGGAGGAAAACGCTGACTTTACGGCCGCAGCTGGATCCCCTCACCCCAACTTCTGGATCGGTGCCCATGACAGTAATACGGAGGGAACATTTGAATGGATCACCGGTGATCCGTTTACGTTTACTAACTGGAACCCTGGCGAGCCGAACAATGGCGCTGGCGTGTACGACCCTGAGAACTGCGTCCAAGTTGTTCGTGGTGGCTTCACCTGGAACGACGGGAATTGCGGTGAACACTTCGGGTACATTTGCCAGTTTGTGTGAGTGAACGGCCGTGTATTCTACTATGAAATATGTACCTCGATACTCCTGATTGTGCTGAAAAACTATATCGCTGACGTGCCTTCCTTGGGCCCGTTTTCGAGTCTCTTCATCTATTATGTTAGGCCCACAGTATATTAATTCATGTAATTCATTAGTTCATTTGGCGTGGGTAGCTACTTGCGCGTCCATGTTTGCCATAGCTACCCAGGCCCTTTATATTGCGTTGTCTCTTGCTCACTCTGCCCCGATTCATTGATGCTCGACTCATTGATTCTCGATAACAACCTCGAAGCTCGCTACGTAACTCGTTGTTCTCTTGTTGGACCTGTCGGAGCTAACATATATGACATTATAGTGTAACGTTGGTCTCTTTCAACTCTGTCTACATCTCCCCTTGCCTTTGACAATGGTGTATATTTCTGCCCATCATTCATCACTCTCTGTACACATGTTCACCAACCTTAAGTCCTTGTTTTTGCTCCATCCACACCAAGGAGAGACTTATTTCTCCGATGCTTTTTGGCACCATGAACTCATGATCTCACAGCCTCAAACAATCATTGCGTTTTCTTGTTTTTTTATTACTATTATCGGAACATTAATACATCCATCCAAGAAGTGGCAAAGCTCATTAATATTTTCTGCAAAAAGGAAGTCGCATTACTATTACTCCGATAGTTTGTGTCAAATCCCCCTGGTGCTCCGCCGCGCTCTGCTAGAGTGCGTGGAAGTGTTCCGTGTGGCAGAAGTATTCGCCCAGAAGCTCGTAAAAATTGTGTGGCGCTGTCGATATGCCCTGGCTAGTCCAGAACTGCAAGCCCTGCTCCCTCCCGCCGCACCTGGCCATGCTCAACTCCAATCGGCCATGGGATTATGTATGCCAGTTTCCCGTTCTGCAGCAGGTCGGGGGCGCTTTGTTTGCAGGGGTGCAGTGCTATCGAATGCACTTCTTGGTAACCTCCGTGTTATTCATCACGCCCAGCAGTTCCGGACGCAGATCATCCCCTACACCCTGTAACTGTGGAAAAGCAAAATTTCTGTTGATCCCCGCCGCACACAATTCTTGTACATGTACGCTGAAACATTTCAAACTCTCATTCTCTTTCTCCTTCTCGTTAGAGGTTTATATTAATTCTTACCCTTTTTCTCCTTATGGCCGTAGCCATCATCACATTTGCTTTAATGTTATTGGGTTCTTGCCCGTTAGAAGTAGCTAATTCAAATAAATACATGTCCTGTGGAGTTTTGGGAGCTGAGTCGAATGGTCACTATAACATGATACTTTATACAGTCAGTTTTGTGCCTAATTACTGCACTTTCTGACTGTATAAAGTATCATGTTACAATGATGGAGAGTTACTCTTAACTCGTATCCATAATGTCTTTTTCCTTTCTACATTTATTTATAGCTCAACATCCGAGTTTCAAATTGTAATATTAATCACTTGACATCGCTGCCTTCAGTGCTATTGTGTGGCTGAAGGGCTCGATTTCAGATTTGATGGCGTTTACTTTTCAACAGATTTTGTTTACTGATTTAGCTTTCTTGCTATTTCTGTATCTGCTTGTGTTTAAAAGTCTCTTTCTAGCAGATTGAAGTTGAAGACAGCTGTACTTATGGTTGATAAAATATGGTGGTAAAGACACACCTGGCAATATGGCGGTAAACACACGCCTGCCCACACACGCTCTCTAAGCTGCAAAGTTCTGGCACAGAGCTCTCCTTCTCACCACCACCACCATCAGTTCGCGCCTGGCGCCTCGTCGATGCATGGTTGGCGGTATCCGAGATAGCAGGCTGGTACATCAAGTAGCGCATGGCACATAGCAGATGACACAGCAACGACATAGCTCGATTGCGACGTACGTTTCGTCCCCGCTGGACTCATCAGGCAATCTTCTTCTTGGATTTCTTCATACGGAGCTTATCTCAGGAGAATGAAGTTGAAGTCACCACTGCAGCTGTACTTATGGTTGATAAAATATGGTGGTAAAGACACACCTGGCAATATGGCGGTAAACACACGCCTGCCCACACACGCTCTCTAAGCTGCAAAGTTCTGGCACAGAGCTCTCCTTCTCACCACCACCACCATCAGTTCACGCCTGGCGCCTCGTCGATGCATGGTTGGCGGTATCCGACATAGCAGGCTGGTACATCAAGTAGCGCATGGCACATAGCAGATGACACAGCAACGACATAGCTCGATTGCGACGTACGTTTCGTCCCCGCTGGACTCATCAGGCAATCTTCTTCTTGGATGTCTTCATACGGAGCTTAACTCGGGAGAATGAAGTTGAAGACACCACTGCAGCTGTACTTATGGTTCATAAAATAAGGTGGCAAAGACACACCTGGCAAAATGGCGGTAAACACACGCCTGCCCACACACGCTCTCTATGAACATGAACATTGGAGTTGGGAATTATGAGCACATGGGTGCATTTGATCACACCCGAACCCATACTTTATCGTTTCATTTAAACTTTGAACTCACACTTGATTCTAAGTTTGGACTGTGTATAGTGGATTTTGGATCAATGGACTCTATACAGGGGGTGGACATCATTATAGGCGCTGTACGCTCTACTGAGTCCAACATATATTTTCCCGCTTACGTTTTTCCCTCAAACCAGGTGAGCAATTATAGTACAATGCTGGCAACTGAAATCCGACCCCTGAGTGGGGTGCGCTCACATAGCGAAGGCCCAACACAGGATTGTAACACTACAAAATAGAGACGGCTAGAATGTGAATATTTTTTTGTTGGATTTCAGTTGCCGGCACTGTTAATGTGCATGGCACAAGTACAAGACATTTTGCTGGTTAGGACTAATCTCGGCACACACTAGGGGTTTGAATTCTTACCCTGGCGCAAGGAGACGCAGGAGACACTGCTGATATTGCACACACGATGCATCAGTTCACGCTCTGTTGGCCTGAATGTGCGGAAGCAGGATTCTCTAAGGTTTTCATGTTATGCTGTGCCGCCAGACGGTGATTAGTGGCTTCCTGATGCTTCGGTTCTGAAATTAGGAAACAACTATCTGGAGCCTAGCATAGATGTGTTACCTGTAGGCATCCCTCACTGTCCTAGCAAGCCAATGAGAACATCGTTTGTGTTTGCACACTGCGTCTACGTCACTGACAGGTCCCCAGGATGATGATGCATGTATGTGAATGTTTCACACAAGTCTTTTAACCTGGAGCAGAATATGGTATTTTCGTGGAGTTGATCGGCTGGCGCACACGTGGGGAATGTTATGCAACGTTCTTTGGGACTGCTGGGACCATCCGGGGTTTTCAGCAAGATCTGGGAAATCTATTTTCAGAGTATTGGGTGTAGATACGTCACGGCAGAACACCTAGTTTTGTTCTTGGAATTGTGTTGATGGGTCCTGTTTTTTCACCAGCTGCAAATCTGATTGTCAGCATTTTTCGAAGGGTCAAAGGGGATGCTGCAACTACTAATATACTTAATACCATGACGCCCTTGAACTTCTCAACTAACTCGAGAAGGGAGCCACATTCTTTCTAAGTATCCATTTGGCTCCGGAGAATTGTTTAAAGAATACAACTTGAATGAAACGACAGCAACATTCACCTTCTACATAGTGGTTGCACCTTCTGCGATGATTTGTATGAAAGGGTTTGCTCCTCACACTGGATTTCGCGCTATTCGGGGAACAAATTCTTTCTTAACATTCACCTAATCAAATCTACGTCTTTACTATAGCCAAGGTCACATTCGACGCAACGCTGATGGTACTGGACGTAGGGGGCCTGCCGAGACGGATTGGGTGAGCTGCTTCTCTCTTTTAACGTTACGATTGTACTACACGACATGCTGCAGTCGTGGCGATTTTCAAAAGCGAACGGAGCGAGTCATAAGGCACGGTCCATGAGGGCCAATGGACACGAAATGCTTGAATACAGCAGATTGACGAGTACTGAAGTACTCAACAACACTGCATGATCAACGGCAGGCTCCGGGATACCCTCCTCCTCATTCTCGCTGCCATCACTCTCACCATCTTCATCCATGACTTCCGATTCCCGTCTCCTGCGCTTGTCTCTTCTCCGTACTGCCTGATCCTTCGGCGCCTTTACTCTTCCATAATTTGCCGTTGTGCATAGTGGGCGTGTCGGCAGCAGTAGATCAGTGGAAACTGTTGCCACATCCAAATTCTGTTGTTGCCAACAGAATGAATGTGAACCCGTCGAATGTGAACCAGGGTTAACAATGCTTTAATGATTTGATGGTTGTCTAGGACATCATTGAACTTGACAACCTTGGATGCCAAAACCTCAATTCAGCTGTCATTCAAGCATGGCCGAATGTTCTGGCTCTGGCTGGAATACTCACAGCGTACACCGAATGAAATAAAGCCAGCTGACATCTGGTTGACACTTCGTGAGCTGCTAGCGAGATCACCAGATCACTGTTCTCCTCGAATGGCACATGGCACATGGTACATTGCACATGGTACATGGTACATGGCACATGGTACATGGCATATGGCACATGGTACATGGCACATGGTACATGGCACATGGTACATTGCACATGTACATGTACATGTACTGATGGTCCCTAATCTCGGTACACTTTAGTTTAAATTCTTGCCCTGGCGGAAGGAGACGCAGGAAATACTGCTGATAATACACACACGATGCCTCAGTTCACGCTCTGTTGGCCTGGACGTGCGAAAGCAGGATTCTCTAAAGTTTTCATGGTATGCTATGTCGCCTGAAGGTGATTAGGGGCTTCATGATGCTTCGGTTCTGAAATTGGGAAACAATTATCTGAAGTCTGGTATAGATGTGATACCTGTAGGTTTCCCTCACTGTCCCAGCAAGCCAATGAAAACAATGTTTGTGTTGAAATCACATGCACACTGCGTCTACGTCAATGACAGGTCCCCAGGATGATCCATGTACATGTATGTGAATGTTTTCAAACAAGTCTTTTAATCAGGAGCAGAACATGGGGTTTTCGTGGAGTTGATCGGCTGGCGCACACATGGGGAATGTTACTCAACATTCCTTGGGACTGCTGGGACCAACCGGGGTTTTCAGCAAGAACTGGGCAAGCTATTTTCAGAGTACAGTATTGTGTCTAGATTTTTTTTACGTCAGACAACCTAGTTTCGTTCTTGGAATCGTGTTGGTGCGTCCTGTTTTTTCTCGATCTACAGATCTGGTTGTCAGCATTCTTCGAAGAGTCAAAGGGGATGCAGCAACTACAATATACGTAAAAGCAAGAAACCATGATCAAAAAATAAAGCACTTGAGCATCTAAACTAACGCGGGAAGGGAGCCACATACTTCGTAAGTATCCATTTGGCTCCGGAGAATGCTTTAACCCTTTGCCGACTGAACTCGATGTATATGAAGAATTGTTTAAAGAAAACAACTTGAATACAACATGGGATGTTGTGCTAATTACTGACCTGTGCGTTCTGCCGGCATCAATATCACTGTTATTTACTGCGAGTGTCGCGGGGTTCTACACACCTCACTGGAGGTGTGAGACTGGAGTTGTGCTGGCATGTAGCGCAATTATTATCAACTTTTCCCCGCCGTTTGTGTCTGTGTTGTCATGTACATGTACATGTACATGTCGCACTTTCCTACACGCGCTCTCACTAGGTACCACGCTCTTCTTCCTTGTTTTATATTACTGTTTTTTCCATGTCCACTTCATTCCTGATGATGGTCATGAAGACCGAAACGTTGAAACGATACTGAAAACAGCCCTATTTTACTTGCTTTTGTGTACCTCTTGAAACGACACTTTGAATTGATTTGTGAGAAATGCAGTGCTCTCTTGAGTGTAGGCAGGTTGCCTGCAAACTATTCAAGAAGATTATTTATTTATTCAACATCGTATGGCTTCCGATGGCAGCCAAAACGGGAACCTAATCAAATCTACACCTTCACTGACATTACTTCAAAGAATAGACGGTTGTCTAGGATACCATTGCACTTGACAACCGTGCATGCCAACACCTCAATTCAGCTGTCATTCAAGCATGTCCGATTGTTCCGGCTCTGGCTGGAGCACTCGCAGAGTACATCGAATGATTTGAAGCCAGCTGACATCTGCTTGACACTTCGTGAACGGCTAGCGAGATCACAAGATCACTGTTCTCCTCGAATGGCACATGGCACATCACACATGGCACATGTACTGCTCGGAACTGAAGTTGGGACACTATGGGTTTGAATTCTTGCTCTGCATGTACGTGCCCTAAAACAATGCTGAGCTGTCAACAAATCCGCAAAAGGAACGCCCTAGGTGACACAACACCAAAAAAGACGTTTAGAGAAAATCTGATCACAACATGAGTTTTGCAAGAGCCAACAAAGCATACGTTCGTCACAAATCACACAGATACCTGCATTATCGTCTGTTGCTTCCCCTCCTCTTGATCCTCTAACCAAGTCCAACCGGCGACAATGTCCAATTCCCCATGAGCAGTTATCTATCACACCACCCCACCCGATCCCCTCTCCAAGCCTCTGGCTCTGTGTACCATGAGGTGTTTTCAAACTGTTTCGTTTTCTCTGGAATCGCTGTAGTTTGCGACCGACATGTACATGATAGGTTGCTGGGGCTTTGGGAAAGACTGCATCATGATAGGTTGCTGGGGCTTTGGGAAAGACTGCATCATGAACAACACGATCTCGAGGACGAGAGCACATTCCAAACAAATCAGTCAAGTGGAACTTTATACCTCCGTCCCATTTTCTTTGTACTTCGGTAATGCGTCGCCCACTCCGATCACAGGGTCAGCGAGGCAGTAGAGGAACATGAATATTGAAACGAGAATAAGGATGCGACTTACAATCGATTGCGACTTAAAATCGGGGAAATACGGTATGATGCGCGACAAGGTACACGATAGAAGTCAGGTACAGAATTCGGTTGCTTTGATCGGTATTATCGGCCAAGTGTTAGCCCGCTTGTCCAATATACATCCCGGTACATGTACACATGTACATGTTCTTAATTAATCGATGTACATGTAGTGATTATTATTCATAGCTTTGGCTGGGGGATTTGTTTGAAATATTGCACAACGCAAATCCTTTGATTCGGAGAAATTGTTTTGTAACTTGAGTTATGTACTTTTGGTTTTATATCAGACTCAGCGGAGGACGTTCAGGTTGGTTGTAACTCTGAGTTTCATGCCGCTAGGCAATCATCAGACAAGTGATACTCGGATCTACCCAGCAGTATGCTTATCAACACATAGGGCCATAAGCATCAACAAAATTAGCGCTGCATCTGGTGACGTAAGGTACAGGGAGAAAGCTGGCGCTGACCAAGGCGCTAGGAGAGGCAACAGGCGAGTGGAATCGCCAGGAGGGTGGCGGACAACAGGCAGGTGTGAGCATGAAAGCGCAGACAGAGGCGATAGGTACGCGGTGTACAACAAATGTGTGGAGATGCCAGGAGGATGGCGTGCAATGGGTCAGCAAGATCGCTAGGGGGTCTTTGGGAGACTGACAGGCGTGGGCAGAGTGGCATAGCCAATATCTCAACAACTCTAACAACTTTGGTTTTACGTAAATTGTAGTTGCAGTATCCACTTTGACCCATCGAAAATGCTGACCATCAGATTTGTAGCTCTGAAAAAACAGGACGCACCCACCCAATTCCAAGAACAAAACTAGGGTTGTCTGACGTGAAATGTCTAGACACAATAATCTGAAAATAGATTGCCCAGTTCTTGCTGAAAACCCCGGTTGGTCCCCGCAGTCCCAAGGAATGTTGAGTAACATTCCTCACGTGGGCGCCAGCCAATCAACTATTCGAAAAAATACCATGTTCTGCTCCAGATTAAAAGACTTGTGTGAAACATTCACATACATGCATCATCATCCTGGGGACCTGTCATTGACGTAGACGCAGTGTGCATGTGATTCCAACACAAACATTGTTTTCATTGGCTTGCTGGGACAGTGAGGGAAACCTACAGGTAACACATCTATACCAGACTTCAGATAATTGCTTCGTTATTTTTCAACTGCAGCAGATTTTCCGAGGCTCTCGCGACACACCTGAGTACGTGAACCTAGGGTATAAAGTAACTTGATTTGCAGATAATTTTCATCTTTTTCTGGCATAATTTCCCAGATCTTTTCACCTGAAACTGAGAACGATCTCTCTTGCTCAAAGTGCCATACTTTTTGGGTAGACTGTAAGCATGTTTTCCGTGCTGTTTGTCGCCCTGATGCTCATCACCATCGGTGGACATGCTTCGCCGCATGGTGGGCATGATTGTGTTGTTCAAATGCTCACCACTGCCGGTATAGGCAACTACAATGCTCATACGTACGCGAAGCGCATTGCCCAGGCCGACGTGGAACCGGACGAGCTTAAGGACGCGATTTCGCTGACGTTGCGAGTTGTTGGTATCGACGACGAGGAGGATCAGCAAAGATTCATTGCCTGCTATTCGTCGTCAGTTGGCGACTCTGAGAGGCCGTCTGCTTGCGTGGGATACAGTCCTTGTACCGAACACTCTCGCTGCACAGCATACTCTGCCGTCGCGAAGCCTCACTTCCTCTGCAAGGATTACGATGGTTGCCATGACAATCCTTGTCTGAACGCGGGCAAGTGTAAGGCTGTTGACAAGACCTTCACTTGCGACTGTGCTATTGGCTATACTGGACGGCGCTGTGAGGAGAAGTGGCAAACGAAGGCCAAGGAGGAGGCGCGTCTTGCAAACGTCGTGACGGCCGTCGGCAATTCAGCGCAAACGCGACATGGTCAGTCCATGGCTGCGATCGCCTCCCTGCGGTCATTGGTCGAAGGTCTGGTGTCGATAGTGTCGGGAATCGATAGCAATGTTAAGGCAAGCAAGTCAGTTCTTATTCCCAGCAAGCGCTATGTTGCCTATAGCGAGGATCTTTCCTGGGACGGTGCCAGGGATGCATGCAAGGCCCGCGGCGGAACATTGGCAGTGATCCGAAACGCGGAGGAAAACGCTGCCTTTACTGCCGCAGCTGCATCCCCTAACCCCAACTTCTGGATCGGTGCCAATGACAGAATCACGGAGGGAACATATGAATGGATCACCGGTGATCCGTTTACGTTTACTAACTGGCGCAATGGCGAGCCGAACAATGGCCAAGGCGTGGAGCACTGCATCCACGTTAATGATGGCGCCTTCATGTGGAACGACATCAGTTGCAGTTCACACATTGGGTACGTTTGCCAGTTTGTGTGAGTCAGTGGTCGTGTAGTCTACTATTGGTTTTACTGCTCCATTCTCATGATTGGGCTGAAAAGCTAATGCGCTGATTTGCCTTCCTTGGAACCATTTTCGAGTCCTTAGACTTCATTGTAATCAAGTCTCTTTCAACGCTTTCTTATTCTCCCCTTACCATTCACAATGATGTCTATTTCTGCCCGTTATTAATCCCTCTCTGTAAACATGTACACGCACCTTACATCATAGTTTTCCTCCATCTAAACCAACGATAGACTTTTCTTTCTCCAATTCTCTTTGGCACCACGAACGTATGATCTCACAGCCTCAAGCATTCATTTTGTTGTCTCCATTCATCCACCAAAGCCCATCAGTATTTGACGAAAAAAGAATTCATTATTACCAATACTTTGTGTGAAATGTTCTAAAGGCAGTTCGGGACAGGTTGAAATTTTGAAGCTGGGCATATGGATTTATTTTTGTGGGTAGGCACAGCACAAACATCTAAGAGATCTGAAATTCTAGTTGTGTAAGGCCTACTGGGCCTTTCCCTCTTCAGGATGGGTGAATAGCCAATGTTGATGTTTGCAGTTAAATCGGGCAATGTTGGTTAGAAATGGAATATCTTTGGAACGGTTTATCACATTCTCGTAAAACTTTGGGAAGACGGAGTACATGCCTTATACATGTACATGTAGATGGTATGATACAGCTTGGATTAAATAAAGGTTGCTACATGGACCCTAAGAATAGGGGTATATGTATACAGTATGTCCTACCAATTTGGAAACTTCAAATATGTTGGGCACGAAGACGGAGAGTTTACCCAAGGTTTCATTTGATTATTCGGAAGGGGGTAAGCCAATAAAATTTAATGACCCCTACCATCAGCGTTTTGGGGGTCACCAGGCATTGTGAACGATGATGGAGAGTTTGCCGAAGGTTTCATTTGAATATTCGGAAGGGGGTTAGCCAATAGAAAACCTTTACCATGAGCGTTTTGGGGGTCACCAGGCATTTTATCGCTTTTGCGGACAAAACACGTTCAAAATTGTACATTATTTTATTATTGCATATTTAGGCCTGCAAAGTGGCCAAGGAGATTGGTGGAAAAAGGAAAACAACAAGTCAGAAAGCATTATCTTCACTTTGTTATTCCTACTGAGTAATCTGAACGCAAGAATCGTTGAAATACATGTAGAAAGAAGACAAAATTGCCCAGAATAGGATTCGAATCCACAAACTTCGATCACGGCGGAAAAAAGAATGTTGTTGTTTTCTTTATTTGAATTCGCTAAAACCAAACGGAGAGAACTGTCCAGTGACAAGGGAGCGAATGATGAGAGTTATAATCACTAAGCATGAAAACATCTCGGGGCAAAATGAGACAGACTACAAGAAGGGTTTGCACAACACTAGTACATAAAGGGGAATACGAGAACAAAAGGCGCGGCAGAAGTCGAAGCAAGAAAGCAATCAACGCCAGAGATGTTTTTGTCCACCAAAAAAAGGAGAGAGCGAGCGAGCGAATGAAAAGTAAAAAGTGTGTTCGAACCCACAACTTTGGTCAAAATATCATGTACAACGTACATGATATTAAATACGATGTAGAAAAAGTGTAAATAGCGGTGTTGTTAGTTCTTACTCTGACACCACAATGGCTGAAAGGATCGCCTTTCTAAGCAAACCGGTTGGTAGAGCCCCGGTCTCGCCGTCGAAACACGGCCGGTGCACATACGGTTCAAATGGTTGTCGTTCAATGTTCTCTTTCCCATTTCTGTCGCATTTTCAGATGCTCTATGCATATAAGTCTATCATTCATAGTATACAGTCAACTTCGCTAATAACGACTACGGATATAACGACAATTCGTGAATCACGACATAATTTTCATGCCGAGAGCAAAGTCCCATCTGTATACCCCCTTGGCCCGCACAGTTCATGTTGATTCCGAGACCGGAATGGTCGGAGGAGTGCACTGCGCCTGACCAGCACAGCTCTGCAGCACCTACTACTCCTTTGTTGTCTTTGCGTTTTTTCGTTTTGTCTTTGTGTCTTTCATTACCCCGATTATTATGTAGGGATGTGCATATAGTACATGTATACTTGTAATAATAATAAAAAATGTGATGCCCAGTGGTCAGTACCTTGGCAATATACATGTACATGTACATACTGTACTGCAGACGCAGCGAAGAGCCATGAAACTCACGATTTTGAACAAACGGCGAGGAGACAACAGCTACACTCACACTCAGGAGGACAAGCTGTAGTGACATGTGTTTGATGGTGTTTTATATACATGTAATTATTATACTCAATCTGCGGACAGCATGCTGTTTCGTTCTTTGTGAACTCATCAGCGCAGCACAGAGAAAATGAGGCCGAACCTGATGGCAATGAAACTAAATGATTTCCAAAGCCAGATTTAAACCAGGCCCGAACGTACCTTGCCAGAGTGCTCAAACTAACAAGTCAGTGAGCTCTGCGTAATGCAAACAGCAAAGGCACTACCCCATATACTTACATGTATCATACAGTATGAACAGGTGGAAAAGATGTTCAAAAAGTAAGAGAGAATAAAGTAGGAAATAGTGAAGAGAAATGTTTTTGAAATTCGGATGTCGAGCCAATAATACATGTGGAAAGGAAAAAGAATATTATGGATACGAGTTCAGAGTAACTGTCCACCATCGTAATAATTATTACAGGTTCGGCCTCATTTTCTCTGTGCTGCGCTGATGAGTTCAAAAAGAACGAAACAGCATGCTGTCCGCAGATTGAGTATTTCGCTCCTGCTCTTGTAGCAGTTGAGCACTCTTGCGTGGGGTAGTGCCTTTGCTGTTTGCATTATGCAGAGCTCACTGACTTGTCAGTTTGAGCACTCTGGCAAGGTACGTTCGGGCCTGATTGGAAATTTTTATTTCCATTGCTATCAGGTTCGGCCTCATTTTCTCTGTGCTGCGCTGATGAGTTCAAAAAGAACGAAACAGCATGCTGTCCGCAGATTGAGTATTTCGCTCCTGCTCTTGTAGCAGTTGAGCACTCTTGCGTGGGGTAGTGCCTTTGCTGTTTGCATTATGCAGAGCTCACTGACTTGTCAGTTTGAGCACTCTGGCAAGGTACGTTCGGGCCTGATTGGAAATTTTTATTTCCATTGCTATCAGGTTCGGCCTCATTTTCTCTGTGCTGTGCTGATGAGTTCAAAAAGAACGAAACAGCATGCTGTCCGCAGATTGAGTAATAATTATTACATGTAGATACCATAATACAGTCGGAAAGTCAGGTCGTCGAATGCTTCAGTACTCTCTCAATGTTGTGCCTAGTTGTTGCACTTTCTGACTGTATAATTATAGTATCTAGTTAAAACAATAAGAGGACAGAGAAAGTGTTTTAAGTCTGAGTTTCACGCACTAAGCGATCATCAGATCACATTAGATGATCATCTGATGTGATCTGATGATCGCTTAGTGCGTGAAACTCAGACTTCAAACACTTTCTCTGTGCTCGTATTGTTTATTGTTTGAACCAGCTCTGCCTCTCGGTATTGAGCACTCTCTTGGACAGCCTGGAACCTCTCTGTTTTATGGTATCTAGTTACAGCGGTGGACAGTTAATCTTAACTTGTATCCATAATATCCTTTGCCTTTCTAGAAACGTTTTTGCACTATCATAAAAAAACACCTCAACTAAGAACGGGACTTTGTCAAAGTGTCACAGGACTTCACGATTTCATCCCCCATAAAAACGTGCTCTATACTCAATGTGTGGCATGCTTTGGTCCTGCGGACACGCTTCCCGACACCACTCGGTCAAACACCATTATTCAAACAGCGTGTAAGAAACAATAACTTACATTATCGTATTGCTGCGCCTTTTCTTGTCTTACAGTCGTTTTTTTCATGAAACTCAGAGTAACAACAAGACCCTCCTCCACCTGAAACGCTACTCTACTAATGTATGGCCGCATGTGTTGGTATGACAGTTTTGACCTGTCGAACACCTTTCGACGGCTTTTCCACAGTGGCACGCAGAAACCACTGTAGCAAAAAGCAACATTGGCATGCAATCGTTGGTCCTGTAACTCATTACTCCCCCTGGTACTATCTGTCAGGGACGAAGATGCCTCTGAGATCAACGAAGCATTGCAGATTTCTGCGTGCATGGACCCAAGGCGTCACTGACCTTATTACCTACACTTTGCAGCATTGCCCTATGTTCGCAGGCGCTCAAATTAGGCATTCGTGCCAACTGAAATTGTTCACTTGTCGTACAAAAACACGTAATCAACGCAGGCAGGACAATACATGTGGTGCCAGGATTAGCGTGTTCGTGGAGTGCCTTGGGAGAAGCTATCAATGGTCATTGCAAGCTTCTCGCCGCCGCTGCAAAAGCATATTGCATAGCCGGTGGATGGGGTAAGCGAACTTCGTGTTAGATTTTTGCCCTACGTATGTGTTAATCGTTTCACCTTGCGCCGTCAGCTGCGCAGAACGAGGATAATGAACAACTGTTCACACAAATACTAGAGTTGGTATTGTCGGTGGGAACAGTTGTTCATTACCGGTAACACCACAAACGCCCTCCTATATCTAAAAGGCTGATTTCCAGAACAAGAAACCCAACGACACTGGCGCTGTTCGGCTATAAAAGCGCCACCAGGAGGAACAAGAATCTTAGAACAGTATTTTTCATTACCATTTGGCTTTCATTTAAAATAATTACGGCCAATTTAGTCCATTTATAGTGCCAAGAAGACGTGCTCTCGTGTCTATACGGCTCGAGGATGGCCAAATATAAGATTGGATCAACATTGTGTATCTTATTGGCATTGTTCATCATGGGCATTAATGCTGCGCCGTCCCTTGCCGGCCCCGAGTGCAAGTACGTGGCGTTTGCGGAGCAAGTCAACTACTACCAGGCCAAAGAGGACTGCGAGCGGAGAGGCATGGCGTTGGCTATGGTGCGAAGCAAGGAAGACGAGGCTGACCTCATGAAAGCCATACGAGCCTATCCTGGTTTTGTCGCGTGGTTAGGCGCTACCGACGAAGGCCACGAGGGTGACTGGCGATGGCCAAATGGAGACGGGCTGAGCTACAAAAACTGGGCGCCCGGCCAACCTGACAACTGGCACAACTTTGAGCACTGCATGATGGTCTTTACAAAGTTTCAGCGTGCTGGCCAGTGGAACGATGTCCATTGCAAGTACTTCAGGGTCGGATACGTGTGCCAAATGGGATAGACGGCAGGCATCAGACTATGTCTCAGAACGATACTCGACTCCGCGTCAGGTAATCCTGCTACACACGATTTTAACAGTCGGCAATGGAAATCGGTCGGAAACAGCTTAGTCTCCGTCTCAGAGCTACATTTGCATGCATATTATCATGACTGCTAACCTTTCATCCGCGTTTTCAGTCTGGTTTAGAAGTACCTCTGCCTCTAGAATTTTAACAACAGATTTGCACAGCTTTTTCTGCAGAACTGTTTAAATTTCTGAACTTTGGCCTGAATCTGTCTCTCTGTCTATCTGTCTATCAATCTGTCGGTCTCTATTTGTTCCTCTCTCTTTCTCTCTTTTTCTCTATCTTTTCTCCATCTTCATATGCATTTATCACTCTTTCTCCGATTGCGGTTTTGTTCATGGTTCGCAACCTTCCTCTGCCAACACGTATGCTCGAGTTAGTAACCTAGCATAAACGAACACCATCAATAACGGAAAAACTCTGAACTTCGTTCTGTTGTGCTGGGTGCATTACATGGACTTCTGCCAATAACTAAAGCAAAAAGAGTGAATGACCTGAATGGGGTAAGAGATCGTACATCAGTACCTCTTGTCTCACTTCAAGCCTTTTTCAAGGTACCAGTACATCTAGTGTCTGCTTCCATTACAGCAGCGTCCTGTGTTTCCTGTTACCCAGAAAGCGTAGGGTGTGCATAGGCAACTGTCTTGGCCACTTCACTCCGAGGTAATCCATGTGGTGTACACCAAGACGTAGTGTGTATTGGGAATCGTTTCACATGACTTCGTTTACGCGATTTAGGCAGTTACCTGGCGATATTTGATCTATTTCACTTAGGTCTGGTCGCCTACTGTTGCCATAAGAATAGCTTGGTCTTTCTTTATCGAGTTCTGCCTTTCTCGCTCTCCTTCTCTTCTTCTCTCTCTTTTCTCTCTCTCTCTTTCTTTCTTTCTCTCTCTATCGGTCTCCCTCTCTCTCTCTCTCTCTCTCTCTCTCTCTCTCTCTCTCTCTCTCTCTCTCTCTCTCTCTCTCTCTCTATCTATCTATCTATCTATCTATCTCTCTCTCTCTCTCTCTCTCTCTCTCCCGCTCTCTCTCTCCCGCTCTCTCTCTCCCTCTCTATGTCTCTCTGTCTCTCTGTCTCTGTCTCTCTGTCTCTCTGTCGCTCTCTGTCTCTCCCTCTCTCTCTCTCTCTGTCTCTCTCTGTCTCTCTCTCTCTCTCTCTCTATCTCTCTCTCTCTCTCTCTCTCTCTCTCTCTCTCTCTCTCTCTAACTCTCTCTCTCTTTCTCTCTCTATCTCTCTCTCTATCTCTCTACCGGGTTCTTAATCCAACATTCCCAGTTCGCAAGGCTGGGCGGGGTTGTGAGCAGGCTTTCATGTCATCTTTTCTTATTATTTCTTATTATTTCTGCTTTTCATCTCATTACAAATATTCTGCGCTTTTTCGCCATCTGTGCATAAAATCTAGACTGACAACCTGCTTGTTAAATCATGCCCCTGTTTTCGGGCGTAAAAATCCTGCTGTAAAGGTCTCAGTCCTCATTTGTTAGACTTACCTGTCTTTATAAATGTAACTTACTCTCTTCCACAGACCCCGTCCCGCCATACAGGACTCGCCAAGAACGAAGATGACTACTTGTAGATACACGTACATGTACTGTAAATGAAACTTTAGCACACTTCCTACCGTACATCGCAAAACGACGCGAGGCTGCGCGCCCTCCAGAATAGAATTAGACATTCGTTCAATATCATCGGATACATAAACGTACTTATTATTGTAGAAGAGAAAAGGACATATGGATACGAGTTTTGACTGTATATAGTATCCAGGTACAGTGATGGAGAGTTACTTTTAACTCGTATCCATATGTCCTTTTCCTTTCTACATTTATTTATGGCTCAACATCCGAGTTTCAAATTGTACTTATTATTATTATTAATATTATTATTGTCTCTTTCCCTCAAACTAGTGAAGATTAATATTATTATTAATATTATTTGAAACTCGGTTGTTGAGCCATAAATAAATGTGGAAAGGAAAAGGACATATGGATACGAGTTAAAAGTAACTCTCCATCACTGTACCTGGATACTATATACAGTCAGAAAGTGCAATAACTAGACACAAAACTGACAATTTATTTATGGCTCAACAACGGAGTTTCAAATTGCACACCTGATGAGCCGTCGCGAACCATACGGCGAAACGTACGTCGTGTGAAACAACTTGTTTTGTAGTCAACTTGTCCATCACAATGTCATGCAGGAGGAGTACTGTAGGAGTTTGGCTTTCGGCTTGTACAATTCGTTTTCGCAAAGCTTCCCCTTTCTTTAGTTATCTTTGATATTTATGACCCACCCAAGTTGGGTGGTGTGCTGCTTTGCTGCTTCGAATTGTAGTTAGACCGCTTTGTCAAATATCGTACTGGTCTCGTCATCGTCCAGTAACAATCGACATTCTTTGTTTCGTTGGGACTGTTGCTTTTGCTCGTTTTCTTTGCGCTTGTCTTCCCCTCTTTGGTATTTCCATAACCTTGAACCTTCCAAGTTAGAAGGCTGTCGGTTAGCGCAACGTGTCAGGATGTCGAATGTCTCAGTACTCTTGTCAGTTTTGTGCCTAGTTATTGCACTTTCTGACTATATATAGTATCCAGTTACAGTGATTGAGAGTTACGTTTAACTCGTATCCATATGTCCTTTTCCTTTTCACATTATTATTATTATTATTATTATGTGCATTTTGGCGTTGAAGTCGACCGATAGGTCCACTTCTTCGCTTGTGCTGGACAACGAAGGCAAACGTACTTGCTGCATTTAAAACTTTGAATAAAAAAACAGAATGATGAGTAGTCTACAATTTATGTGTAAACAGTTATGAGTTTTATTGCCACAAACTGAATGTTCATGTACATGTGTACATAGTTCATGAACAATCAAGCACAGTTCTGTCCGCCGGTTGAGTACAGTACATGATGGTATGATGTAGCTGCATACTTAGTCTTTGCACATGAAATAATGATTGTGATGCAGCAGCTGTACTAATGCCGCAAGGTCCGTTTTGTTGAAAAACCTCAGACACGTCCGATGCCGATGGAAAGTCTCGGGCATCAAATGGACAGTAGAAGTTGTTCATTAGAATCGTTTCGGAACACGATGAACGATACAACACACTGATCCCCAAAAAGTAAGTGAATTAGCAACGTTCCCGATGGCAGCTATCGACGATGCCATAAAGTAGCAGCCGGTGAAAAAAATATATATGTAATAGATGCAACTAACGAACCTAGTTGGAACAATCAACTTCAAGATGCAGCTAAATTTGTAAAAAAAACTTATTCTTTGGCCAATTTGTGCTGTCACGTTAATCACCAAGGAGTATAGTTCATCTCACAGGGGTACAGATCATATTGACTTGTGTGGAACGTCGCAGCAACAATCACTGCGTACGTCAAAGTTCCAGATTCCAATCCCGGTGATGCAACTGAAAAGTATCTACATGTAGGTCTGTGGGAAACACCCTAGTAAAATAAATAAAATAATAATAATAATAACATTGTACTTCAAGTGTTACCTGTAGTTCAAAGTACAGTGTACATGTATAATGGTTTCTTTAAATTTATTGTCTGCTCACATAATTTGGATCGCTGCGGCATTGGAACTTTTCATTTTCACTGACAGAACTTCCTGCAACTTCATAAGCAGTTTTAGGGTAGAGTCCACACGCCCTCTTCCATTAACACCGCAATAAATTAAAATTTCAACGTTCCCGTGAGACTCGGCTGGAAGCCGAGTTTTCCGCATCCGCCGTGGGAACGCCACCACCCTCTAGGATCAAGTAATTCAATGATTCAACTCATTTCACAATCATTATCATGATTAAACTGGGTCACCTTCCGAATTAAATTTTCTTATGAATCAAAGATAAAGATCAAGCTGAGGAGTTGCAATAGGAATTGTCAGTTTTATTCTCTCCGTAAATGCAACGTGTACTCGTGTGGTGTAGAGCTTACATTCTCAGTTCATTCGCAAACAGTGAAAGTCAGGATGCTATAACTCTGATTCGCTTGGACTGGGACTGGCACATCTAGTGCTATGTTCATCGGGGGTTCTAAGAGTACTGGATACGGCGCAAGCAGTACCCGGTACGACTGTAGGTTCGGCAATCATGCACGGAGTAATACTGCTGTTGGCCGGAGAAATGTCTGTTCCTACTACTTTAGGAAGTATGGCCTGTTGTAGATAGGTCAGCTGTGGACCCCTGGCGTGGGGCATCTCTGCAAGGTTTCTCTCCTCGGTCAGGTACAAGGGGTTGGTGATGGTGGGAAGTAAATCAGCATTGAGCTCACTCACTGTCGATAAGCGCTTCCTCTGCAGCGCTACGTTAATGTGCACCGGATCGAGCACCTGTGGGGAATTGGAGCAGTCTTGGTAGGCCATACTGGAAGCGATATGGGTCAGAGATGTTCTTCTCGCGCCGTGTCCTGCAGTTTTCTTGATGCAGCAGCCAGCCACAAGCATTACAATACTGGCTACTAGAAAGGCAATGCCGATTCCAACCAAGGCCATGGACTCTGTGATGGCGCCGGTGGCAGTGTTGGCCGCGCCGGTCAGCACGAATAGGATTGAAACGATGATCAGGAGTATCCCACAACTCCCTGTTGAGCAAAGCAGATCAGTTCAACAGCATAAATGTTTCTGTGTCTCTTCGATAACAAATACAATGTGGATGTGGTACATGCATGGGTACGATCAATCAGTATCACCAAGGATGATGCACGATCAATCAGTATCACCAAGGATGATGCACTATAGGCTGAATCTGCCAAACAGAGAACTTAGTGCATGATCTAAGACTAAATGTATACCATTCTATCTCAAGGCTGTGGAGACTGTAATATCAGATCTGTCTGTTCAACAGTGCATCACCCACGCGAAAACTGTGCCTTTCATGACGACTGACGTGCTGTGACCTGCCCTGAATGATTTACTAAGATAACCTTCAAAGACTTGTGAACCATGCTAGTCTGATTATTCACACACACATATTTTGAGATTGAGCTAGTCCAACCAAAACCCCAACAACAACAACAACAACAACAACAACAACAACAACAACAACAACAACAACAACAACAACAACAACAACAACAACAACAACAACAACAACAACAACAACAACAACAACAACAACAACAACAACAACAACAACAACAACAACAACAACAACAACAACAACAACAACAACAACAACAACAACAACAACAACAACAACAACAACAACAACAACAACAACAACAACAACAACAACAACAACAACAACAACAACAACAACAACAACAACAACAACAACAACAACAACAACAACAACAACAACAACAACAACAACAACAACAACAACAACAACAACAACAACAACAACAACAACAACAACAACAACAACAACAACAACAACAACAACAACAACAACAACAACAACAACAACAACAACAACAACAACAACAACAACAACAACAACAACAACAACAACAACAACAACAACAACAACAACAACAACAACAACAACAACAACAACAACAACAACAACAACAACAACAACAACAACAACAACAACAACAACAACAACAACAACAACAACAACAACAACAACAACAACAACAACAACAACAACAACAACAACAACAACAACAACAACAACAACAACAACAACAACAACAACAACAACAACAACAACAACAACAACAACAACAACAACAACAACAACAACCACAACAACAACAACAACAACAACAACAACAACAACAACAACAACAACAACAACAACAACAACAACAACAACAACAACAACAACAACAACAACAACAACAACAACAACAACAACAACAACAACAACAACAACAACAACAACAACAACAACAACAACAACAACAACAACAACAACAACAACAACAACAACAACAACAACAACAACAACAACAACACAAAGTCTTTCCAATAACCGAAGGCATGCCGCAAGCAATCAAGTTTACGAGAAATACGACAAACAGTTGACTATCCTCTCACAGCTACATACCTCTATCTACATCATTCACGGAGTCATCAAGATACTCTTCCTGCTTCTCTTCGTCTTTGTAAGCATAGCGAGAAACAAAACAGTGGCCACCGCCTCTCAACAAAGTACACATTGACTATACATGATTTGAGTCTCCATTTATTGTTTGAACTAACTCTGTCTTTCGGTATTGAGCACTCTATTTGACAGCCTGGAACCTCTCTGTTTTACACGATTCGAGTCTCAAAAACATTTTCTTCATACTTTTCCCGTTTCCATTCGCTCAACTAGTGGCAATGAGCCTCAAGTTTACGCGCTATTCAATCAGTATGTCACCCCTGTCAGGATATTTACATGTACATGTGTGGTTGGCTTCCATCCTACCGACTGGCTGTGAATAGCTTCTTGTGCATTGAGCATTATCAGGGCAACACGTATGGTGCCTGCCTGTGTGTATGCCTGGCTAAGACATCAGGTATTCGTACAGGTTCAAAAGGTACATGCGGCTCTAACACAATAATACCACTGATGGTTCACATTTGAAGCGATTCCTTGGAAAGCAAATTTAATGCTATACCAGTGAAAATAACACGTATATGTTTTATATTTATGTTGCTGGCCACGATATTTTCAGTGTGATACTCAGAGTGCAACCACAGGGTACCTGATATTGGGAATTGCTCCATTGCTCCAACTCGACCAAAGTCACTGCAGTAGGCCACAGACAGACACAGTACCGCTGCTAACTAGCACTGTGAATTCGTTCAAGGGCTGTGGAAAGGAAATAGGTCTGACTGGCAATAGCAGACCAACAACAGGCATGTTTGGGTAGTTGTCATTCCAGCTCTAATAGTAACACTGTGTAAAATGATAGCAATTTAATGTATTACTCGCGTTAAATCATCGCTGCCTTGCTGCTTTGTGCCGTCAAATGGTGTGTTTTTTTGTAAAAAAAAAAAATAAATAAAAAAGCGAGCTTCCCCATTCACAGGTAAGTGCCCAATGCAGCAGACAGAGCTTTCCCAAGAGTATTATGTTGGAGAATAATGCTCAGGAATTAGGCATTTTCTGTGCTGGAAAGCATTGAAGCCGGCAGAAACACATACCACACATGCAGTACAGTAAGATCGGGCGCCGAAGAACACCTCGCCGAAGAACACCCAGGCTGGAAAACCGGCAAAATTTACACTAGATCTACATTGTACGTAGATCTACATTGTACATGTATGGGAGGTGAGTACATGTCAATGATGTCATGTACACGTGTAAACAGTAACTGCTACATGTACAGTCATTCCCATTTACGACACCCACTAGTTTAGAAGTACATGTACTACAGCACTACATGTACATGTACAATGTACATGTACATGACAAACGTCATGACGTCTCTCGACTCGCCGAGCGCGTGTGAATAAGAACGGTCTGGCTAGAATCAAAAATTTAAGAACTTTCCTAGGCTGCGCTTGAGCCCCTGCGTTCTTCGGCGCCCGATCTTACTGTAGATAATAATTTACTCCTTTATTTCTGCTCCTCTTCCTTGTCACTTCTGCAACATGCAAAACGCATCCCCAATACACCAGAGTTTGGGGAATTTTCTGCGAGCACTTAATATCCACCCGCCAAGGGCTAACTGTGATGGATACATCGAATCTAGCTATACTACCTGTACGTGGACTGCAAATGTATTGGAAAGATACGGCGCTAGCAGTCTTACTTTGTGGCTGATCCACCACTCGCCAATCAACGCACAAGTACATACAACTGTAATAGCCTTATTAGGTATCTAATATTGACTGGGCAAGAGGTATACTACATACATTTACATGTAGGACACAAAAGCCCAGTACAAGACCGAGGTGAAGCCGAGGTCTTTTACGAGTTTCTTATTACCTAATTTGACCTAGTACCGAGTAAATATTTGATTTATCACGACCAGCCAAAGCATGTGTTTCATCCCTACAAAGGAGTCAAATATAAGCAGTCAATACAGCTCTAAGGAGTGCAAAAATGCAGGAATAAAATTTTGACTGCTTAGGTATGGCAAAAAGCTATCGGAATCCATACTAAACGAATGATAAACTATTATACATCTTTGTAAACTTCCAACCAGGAACAGACAAAATCTCCTTGGCTACACCACGCAAACCGATTGGTAGCCAGGTAATGTTTGCCCGAACGCAAACAGCTGATAAAACTAAGTGATGGGTGTTCGTTAAAGTCGGAACAGGAGAAAATGTAAACGAAAACGATCGGACAAGGACATTCAAGGCACATTGTCTCATTCATTACCTGAAGATAAATTCCAGCTCCTAGCAAGCACTGTCTCTGTCCAATGGACCATTCCGGCACGAAATCTGCTACCACCACACAGCAGACGAGTTGAGTAAACTACAGTCATGTAGTTCCCACAGACGTTGCTGTCACTTTCTATACTCTGCAGGCTAGAGCGATCCGAGAACTAACTTGAAGCTATGTCCAGCCTTAGCCATGTATCTGCGAACGTTCCCGACTCGCCTCGCGCAAGGACAACGCATCGTTTGTGCTGACATTCATACGGCACACCTTGGGCACTGAACAGTCAGGTGTCGCTTGGCACAATCAAAACCACGCGCGTCCAGGGCCTTCAAGTTGATTTGAGAGCACTGGAAGCTATCCTGCCCCGCAAGAGGCAGCTTCATTGTGTTGCTAGCAAGGCGGCAGCTGCCGTTGTTTAGCCTCTGAAGTTTTGGTAGTGGAATAATAGTATTAAAATAATTATAATAATACTATTTTCCAGGCAATGTCTGGACAACTTCCTGCTCTGGGGAGAAGCTGTTCTCTCCCACATGGCATATAAATTTATTGATCGTTTCCACTCTACACAAGTGCGCATCGTTGAGCTCCTGACATAACTCACTCAGCTCTTGCCCAAGGCAATACTTCGTATCACGAATAGCAGCACTTTGCAGTGCACTACTTCGAATTACATGTAACGTTCTTTACTCAGGCCACGAACAAAGTCCTCACTGGGCCTCCGTACTTGGAAAACCAATTTTCACATCACAAACCGAGTACGTAAATAATCCCTCAAGAACTTGTACAGTGTGCATAACTGTATGCGGAGGGAGGAAATAATTTTTCACGCATGTCTAACTCTAAGCTAAATAGAAAGATAGTGTCTATGATTGTGTAACTAAATGCAATGAAGATGCTACTGAGTCCTGACCGTGTCGGAATTCATGCCAGATATTGGTGGATTTTTGTGGTGCTAACAGGCGTCTACCAAGACTTGAGTCCTATGTGTGAGGTTCTTGGCGCTGCGCGCACTACATCCCCCACTTCTCAGCAAAGCCTTCATTTTGTTTTTGAAACAGATAATTAGTGACAGCTAAAAGCATGTCAGCAAAGGTCTGTAATTCACTCATATTGCTCTTGGCGAATCCAGGCTCGATGAACCTGAAAGACTTGATGGAGCGCTTCATAAAGCCGGCCGTCAGCACACAGCTGATCTACAGGTCGTCTGCCATGCCACTTCACTGCCTAGTGTGCTAAGTGATCGTTATCTTGGCGCCACAATCGATTCCGGCATGTCCTGGCACGCCCACATTGCCAAATGTTCTGCACGCGTGTCGCAGAAGATCGGAGCACTCTGGCGAATGCGCCGCTGCCTGAATCACCAGTCATGCATGACCTACTTTAGATCGCTGATCATGTCTGACCTGCTGTATGCTTCAAACGCGTACTCTAGCTCACTGCAAAGAAGGTACCTCGACCGTCTACAGGTCCTGCAGAACAGTGGGGCTCGTGCTGTCTTTGGCCGCCCTCCGTGGTCGTCTGCCCGCGACCTGCTGGAGTGCATGGCAGTGTTCCGTGTGGCAGAAGTCTTCAATCAGAAGCTAGCATACCTGGTGTGACGCTGTCGTTATGCACTGGCAAGTCCAGAGTTGCAAGCCCTGCTAACCCCAGCTGCACCCGGCCCTACTCGGCTCCAATCTGCCATGGGCCTGTGCGTGCCAGTTTCCCATTCAGTTCCCGGGCGGGGGTGCTTTGCTTGCAAGGGTGCTGTATTATGGAATGCCCTCCCCAGCGACATCCGTGCCATCCATCATGCTTGGCAGTTTCGCACGCAGGTAATGGTGTACTAGCTGTGCTAGTACTTGTTAGCAACAATCCGAACTAGTGCACACACTGCACTGCATTGCTTTGTACTGCTTTCAAGACTGACGTCATGCGCTTTGTTTTGCTGCGTAATCACAAATGGCACCAGCCCATTTTTGCGGAAAAGAAAAACAAATCTTGCTTGCCCTGTTGTGCTCTTCCAGACAACGGATCGTGCTTCAGCAGTGTTTCTTTTCCCACCATCCCTCCCTATCCAACTTAGTCACACCATCATAATATTATCGTACCCACTAACCGGGTCCACTCTCACAACTGGTGTTATCTAGCTATTTGCTGCGGCTCTGCCTTGCGCTATATTACATCCATTTAGCATTGCAGCTCTACGTTGAGCTAACAGCAGCTCTACTTTGAGCTAACAGCAGCTCTACTTTGAGCTAACAGCAGCTCTACTTTGAGCTAACCGCAGCTCTACTTTGAGCTAACCGCAGCTCTACTTTGAGCTAACAGCAGCTCTACTTTGAGCTAACAGCAGCTCTACCTTGAGCTAACAGCAGCTCTACTTTGAGCTAACAGCAGCTCTACTTTGAGCTAACAGCAGCTCTACTTTGAGCTAATCGCAGCTCTACTTTGAGCTAACAGCAGCTCTACTTTGAGCTAACCGCAGCTCTACTTTGAGCTAACCGCAGCTCTACTTTGAGCTAACACCAGCTCTGCTCTGAGCTAACACCAGCTCTACTTTGAGCTTCAAACCAGTTGTTTCGAAACCAGCACTCCTCAATCCAAAGATGCCTCTTTGTTGACTTGTTTGTGTGAGGGATGGGGCTAATCCCCTATACCTGTGCCCTGTAGATGCTGAAGACAAGCGAAATCTTCTGTTTTTTCTGTTTTCTTTCTGTTGTACCCGATCTCCCTCTGATGTACCGCTGACTCTATGCTGAAGATCTAAGCATTTAAATTCTCATTCTCATTATAATTTTTCATATTCGCTTTCATGTTATTGGGTTCTATGCCCGTTTGAATTTGCGAATCAAACTAAATACAAACAAACAAACCTGAATTCAGTCTGGCGCTTCCACCATTGTTTTGTATTGAAACTTATTAATTTTTACTTCGGTGGCTCAACTACAAAGAGGCCCGAAAAACGATCATAAGGAGATGAAAAGGAACAAAAAAGAGTGGCAAACCAAAACTAGATGAAGTGAGAAAAACAACAAAAGAAACAGGAATTATGGTGAGAAACAGGAATCTAGTTCATAATTATAAGCTATACAAGGTATACCCTTACGTGGCAAAAAAGCTGTTGGAGTAAAGAAGGTCATGTTATCGTCCTACATCATGGAAGGTAAATGATTGATCATGCATACCATGCACTGCAGTACAATGCTCTCTAGAAGGGTGTCCAGTGTACAGTCTAACCATAAGAATTAGTTGAAAAATGCAAGAAAACGTACATGTGACCACGCATAAAGATGTGCGCCAGGCCCTGAGAAAACCCAATTCTCTTTGTCCAGCAATACACGATGCGTGCAGGACTACAGGCTAAAGGCTGGCAAAACGCAAGGTGACAATAATTCGTCAAGGTTCGTGTATGATGTACACTATGTCTTACGAAACGTGGCTACGCAGGACGCGAGAGAATTGACTGTGTAAAACGACGGTTTAGAGCAATTTCCAATTCCATTCTCGCCAGTTATTGCATCATAGCTACAATGGTACATGGGTACATGGTACATGGTACATGGGTACATGTGCATGTGCATGTGCATGTAGGTCCCCGCTGACACCGGCAACAGCTTGCTGATTCACTGGGTATGCTCGTGTCTGGGCTGGGTATGCCGGGGTCTGGACTGGGTGTGCCGGGGTCTGGACCGGATTGGCGGCTGATGGCGGCCTCGCAGCAGTGGGCTCAGAGACTTAGCTGGTAAGCTTAGCTGGAGGGTGTGCTGGTGGCGCGGACGCTACGGCAGGGTCAGCAGCACTTTCGACTGGATACTGTGCACCTGCTGCGCCCGCTGGAGGATAGGCTGGATTAAAAGCTGCTGCCGGAGGTGGTCCTGGCTGGTCAGGTGGCACAGCTACGGGCGGTACGACCTTGGGTACTGGGGCAGCACCGGATGCATTCGCCTCCACCGTTGCTGTCGCAGCCGTAGTTTCATTGGAAACGCTCATCATGCGTTTGAAGCATAGTGCAAATGGTACACCAATACACAGTGCAATGTAGATACAGAGTAATACACACCCAGCCACCAGAGGTGCATTCAATCCCAGTACAATACCAATACCAAGGGTGATCACCGCGGCCAGCGAAGCACATTTAAAAGGCGGTGAACGTTGCCACGTAACTTGCGACACGAACTACAAAAGCAGAGCGCACGCAGTGGCAACACATTTGTTTGCATACACGGACACACACGCGCGCACATGCACACACACAACACACACACACACACCCGCACAGACAAACAAACCACACACACACACACACACACACACACACACACACACACACACACACACACACACACACACATACACACACACACTCATGGAGTCATGCATGCATGCATTCCTGACTATTCACGCTCGATAGAGCTGACAGTACAAAATAATGTAACTCGTAGATGCAGTACAGCCTTGATATTTTACTTATTGGATAATTCAAGTTGACTGCAGTACTGTCGATTGCTGAAGAACCTGGGGTTTAGCCTTGTACCCAGTCCCTGGGTCGTTCTTATGTTTCATGTCTACCAGTCTATGCGTAGTAGAGTCGCCTTGCATAATTAGGGCGCGTTCGAATGGTCACTCTTTGACTTTTCGAGGAGTTTCGTTTTTCTGAAGAGGTGGCCGTATTGGCCTCTTCCGAAAAACGAATCACCTCGAAACTCCTCGAAACTCCACAACCTCATCCGATGGGAAGGTGGATTAGTTCCGAAGATTTTGGAATAGCTATGTCACGTAGTACGTGGAGATGGTCGATCTGATCGGACGTCATCATCGCCATGACAATTCCACTGAAAAACTCTAAAAATGACCAAAGATCTACAAGTTACTCTATAATGCCCACTAACAACACCAGTTACTAACTTGATGTTATTTCAACTCTGACTCTGGGCAAGACTATGTGTAGCCGTCATGACCTACAAAAGGCTACATACCCAAGCTGGTGCATGCAGCTCCTCTGCATCTGGCTTGCCATCTGGCTTCGTATCTGCCTTTAGCGTCGCATGCGATAACCTTCAACCCTTTTTTGTTCCTAGAACTTAGAACCTTCCAATTTGGAAGGCTGTTGGAGTGCGCATCCAAGACGTGCTACATACAGCTGACTGGCAGTTATTTGTAGAACGTCAGTACCGTTGGTCAGGGTCGTGCAATTTTATCGCGTGAGGTGATCGTCAAGTAACTGGTGGTGTCAGTGGACATTATCGCGTAACTTACTTGTAGTTCTTTGGTCCTTTTATTTTCTATAAATTTCACCTTGGCTCTCCATCCGAGTCCTATCCTAGTGTTCAAACGTCTTACCTAGCCGATAAGTCGTCATTGGTGGTCAACAATCCTAGCCGTCACCGTCCAAAGCCCGATGGATATCGTCGCAGCAAATGCCAACAATGCTAAGAGTCGCTGCTGAAATCTATCCCTCACAATTCATGGAGGTTTGACCTTTGAACAAACTTGGACTGAATAGCGATCTGAATTATTGGTGGTAATAACTCAGAGAGTGAGCCAAGAAAATATTAAAGTGAACACATGGGAAAGAGTGGGGCACAAGTAACAACTACACAGGGAAAACAGTTGGGTACCAGCCCCACTGTTTCCCTTGTGTGTACTTTGGTAAACATCCAGCGCGCCCGAAACCGCACTCGCACACTCTCACCGGCACCTGCTATACATGTATCTGCACCGCTGTCAGTCGCACACCGATTCCGGGCGCTGAAATGTTCCGCCTTCTATTTTGACAGCTTCGCGTTACCCAGCGCTGTTCTCCGGAACGTATACCTTGGTTACTTTATCACTGTCTTTTCTGGCCTTGCTCATTTCAGCGCCAATTATAGAAAAACTGGCACCAAGAGCTGATCATGAAGTCTTTGTATCCTAGAATTATGAAATTCATGATCTACATGTGCATATACTTCTAAAATGTCTAGTGGAAAGCAAGCCTGCAGCCTCTGCAGCCTCGGTGGCTACTGCAGCAGTACTGTTACCCGAAGGACAAGCCATCTCGAGATGGACCCTTTGCTGTGACAAAATTGCACCCCCCCCCCCCCTCCACCACCAAATTATGCCGGCATAATCCGCTGGTGCCTAGTGAGCATGGGAAATAATGGGCTATACATGTGTTCTGTAAAACCTGGAAGCAACGAAAGGTGACTGCTAGTACTAATATTCGGATAATGCGACCATCTGTAGTACATGGTATGCTAGAAGATCAAAGAAACTGATTTGTATTTTTTATTGTATTGTATTTCATTACTAAAAATATTACTTGGGCATTCCCAACAGGCCCTAAGGTCTTCTTACAGGGTGCCGGGCCCAAGATGAATGAATGTGTAAAGTTCCTGGCGAAATGAATCGGACATGATTTGTGCGAAGGTATTTGGTCAGCACCAAGGAATGAAATAGATTTTTGTCCAGCTTGAGTTTGCACAATGGGTAAAGAAAGGGAGGGAATCATTGACAAACTCATGATCAAGGGATGTTATTTCCAGTCAAATGATCCTGGATAAGTAGACCACATGGTAACAGAGACCACGTTTTGAAGGTCCCTTGAATTGAGCGTCCGGCTTATCGGCGACGCCCCCGGTTTTGTACAGGTTTTTATTCCCTATAAAAAGTAGAAACTCAGCCATGGAATTATTTATGAACTCGGATGGAAAGTCAAGGAGAATATAGTCATTTATAGAACAAAATTGTAGTTCTTTGGTCCTTTTTCTTTTCCATGCTTTTCATTTTCTTTTCCATGGAATGTCTACGGAAGTGTCCTCACAGTGGTGATGGTTGTGTGCAGGAGGGTAGGTGTTGGCGGATAATCCCGGCATTATATCGAGCATTATACACCACCTGGAGCATTACGAGCATTATAAAGCATTACGAGGCCAAAAATGGCAATACGACGTTCTACATGACTACATAGTAGATCTACACACATCGTCAATTCGTCAAGTACAGATTCGCACCGGCTATAGCGTTGGTCTTTGATTGGCAACATTTATTACTATACGCGATGTATTACTACAAGCGATAGACCACCGACGTCCGTACACATCAGTCATCATGCATGGTACCAAACAGATCGTGGCACGCAGTGCCAGGCCCAGCTACTGTCCAGCACAGACAGTGTGGAAACTCTCGCAGCAACTTCCGGTCCCGGAAGTCTATCTTCGGCCAGCAACTAACAACACTACTGAGTAGATCTACCATGGATCATGGAGTACTGTGTACTTACTTTTTGAAGATCCAGGTAACATGGTAACAATGCCGAACCAACGAAACAAATGATTACGTGAGCTAGCATGGAACGGTGGAGGTGCGCACACGCACATATTCCAGACCTTACCCGATTACCGTTCACAATGTTACAAAAAAATTCTTCATTGAAGCAAGAGTCCATGACTTTGTCTTTGTCGAAGGGTAACGCTGGACTTTCAACGGACATTGACCATTGTGTAAGACCTGCTAACTAGCAGCCAACGGTGATGGCTGACTCGCCGCGATGCCGTGGAGGAAGCTGGGCTTGCTCCAGTTGAGCTTTTGGCGGAGTCCTCTGATGATAGTGACGTCGTCGAGTTGGAAACTGCACATCCTGCCGCGATAGCGAGGAAGCGGTCTTTTCAGAAAACTGCTATTACCAAGTCTGAAAATGTTTCTAAAAGGACGCGAGTAGCTCATGGACAGCCTCGACGCACTGAAGTGGCCATCAGTGCCGAAACACGGGTGCGGGAGTTCCCAGATGAGCCGCTCAAAAGCGACTGTGGCAAGTTAGTGTGCCTGGCATGCCATACAACATTGTCAGGGAAGAAGAGTATATATAATCATATCCCATATTGCTACCGCGAGACATAAACAAGGAAAGTCCCGTTTGGAGAGGGAAACTCAGAGGCAGAAGCTGGTCAAGGAGTCCTTTTGGCGTATCCTCTTTGTGCCGCCTCAATAATTGTGTTTGTACCTAGCGTACATGTTTACCTGATATTGTATTATGTGTTTCTCATAGCATGGGTGCAATATTATAGCGTTTTTCTTAGCCCAATACCGCAAGGTTCAGGTGTTTATATTCCATCCGGCGGAGCATTATCAGCATTATTTGGAGCATTATATGGCCTTTTGTGGAGCATTACTGAGAGCATTATATCCCATATTACCGAGCATTATCCGCCGACACCTAGTCTAGTCGGCTAAAGAGCGCAGTGTTATGGTGGAGGTGACTCAACATTTGCTTCAATGGCCGAGAGCTCTTTCGCACCCCGTAACAATGGAATGTATCCTATACGTAAAGGCGACCACTCTAATAAGCTACTAGTAGGCCAAGAGGACAACTACAACTAAGACAGTATTTAATCTCAGGACACAGTATTTTTTGTATCTTTTTATCTTACTGGGGCATTTCCAACAGACCATAAGGTCTTCTTACCGGGTGGCCAAGGTGAATGGATTTGTTAAGCTACTGGCGAAATGAATTGGGGGTATGATGAAGGGATTCGGGTAGCGCCTTAAAGCGGTGAGCACCAAGGAATGAAATAGATCAATTTTGTATCCCAATGCAGTCATATAACGCTTTTAAGGGCGAGGCACAATACAGATTCGAACAGACCACTTCAAACAAGAAAATATAATTCCTACTCGAGAAGCCCAGTGCTATGTTTTTTTTATAATGCTTCCAATGTTGGTGGACAAAGAAGTTATAATAATTATTGTAGTACAAAACTTGTCCTAAATCTCAAACATCTGGTAAAAATACAACTTGTTATTGAAACAGGCAATTGGTGACAGCTAAAAGTATGTCGCATAGGTCGGTGATACAGTCATAATAATTGTTGTGTGCGAATCCAGATTCATAATGACTAGTAACTCTTAACTTGGTCTGGCGCTTCCACTATGTACTGTAGAACAATGCACACTATAGTAAGGTGAGAAATGTAAGGTCTACTTCAACCATAAGAACTAGTAGAAAAGAGATGGAAGAAAACGGACAAATGACCACGAATAAAGATCTGCGCCAGGGCTGAAAAAACCATACCACTGAAGTATAATCGGGTATTCTCTTTTCAAAGGGATACACAATGTGTGAAGAGCGAAGGCTGGCAAGACTCAAGGCAACCATAATTCCCCGAGAACCGTGTACAAGGTATGATGAAACATGGCTACGTTGGTAGAGAGACGTTTGACTGTGTGCTGCCATTGCTCAAAGGATTTTCAGTCCTTGCCAGTTACTGCATCATAGCTAGGCAGGTCCCCGCTGACACCGGCAGCAGCTGGTTGATCCACTGGGTATGCCGTGGTCTGGACTGGGTATGCCGTGGTCTGGACTGGGTATGCCGGAGTTTGGACTGGGTATGCCGGGGTTTGGACTGGGTATGGCGGATTGGCAGCTGACGTCGGGGCTGAAGCAGTCGGCTGGGAGGCATAGTTGGGAGTACCGGCAGCTGGAGGGTATGCTGGTGGTGCGGATGCGGCGGCAGGGTCAACAGCACTTGCGACTGGATAGGCTGTGCTTGCTGTGCCCGCTGGAGGATAGGCGGGATTAGCATCTGCTGCCTGTGGTGGTGCTGGGTATTGCTGGTCGAGCGGAACAGCTACGGACGGTACAGCCTCGACCACTGGAGCGGCACCGGATGCACTAGCCTCCACCGTTACTGTTGTTCCCGTAATTCCATTGGAAATGCTCTTCGCTTTCTTAAACGCCAGCGTGCCACCAATACACAGTCCAATGGATATACAGAGCACAATACAGCCAGCCACCAGTTGTGCAGTTACACTCAGAGAGATACCAAGCGCCAGGTTGATCACGCCGACGAAGAACAGGAAGAAGGCGAACATGAACATGACTATTGCGCCGACAGCTGCGGAAGCAGACCACACACACGTGCGCGCAAGCGTACACATTTGTTTGCATACACGTACATGCGCGTGTGCACACGTACACACACGCACACACACATACACACACACACACACACACACACAAACACACATTTCTGAATGTCCATGCCCATGCTCAATAGTACTGACTACTACTGACCCCAGATAAACTACAGTCAACTTTGCTAATAACAACTGCGGATATAACGACAACTCGCGAATAACGACATAATTTTCATGCCCAGAGCAAAGTCCCATCCAACTGTGACATGTATAATGAGACTTCGGGTATAACGGCACTTCGCGAATAAGGGCACTTTTCTGATGCCCCGCCGAGTGTCGTTATAAGCGAAGTTGACTGTACACTCTTGATATTTATTATCGGCACTGAGAAGACAAGTTGTGCAGTGACCAGTCTTCTGTCATGATGCAGAACTACAATAGAAACTAACACGGCAGAGAGATAAATGTGATATGTACATGTATAAGGAAAAATGTGTTCAGAGCAGTTTTCTTGTTTCGAACCACACTGAACTTACGTAACAATGGGTGGATTACTCAGTGAACAACATTGCATGGACCAGAAAATTGGCTGTTCAAGGATCACAACAGGAATATAACACGTACCACTTCCAGCACCTGCCGCACCCTGGACTCCAGTGATGGCCCCGCCACGATTGCCACTCCGATTGTGATAGAAGTTAACTCTTCCGTGATGCGCGCCTCCATGGTGGATACCACCGTGATGTAAGCCTCCATGGTGGATACCTCCGTGATGCGCGCCTCCATGGTGGATACCACCATGATGTACGCCTCCGTGATTAAAGTCTGTACATGAAAATTGAACAGGAGCAAACATCAGTTTTACAAAAGGATGCTGAGAACGGTACACAAAGACAAGCGGGTATAGTAGATCATGCTCATTTTGCGAGCATATAGACTTTCATTTTCAACTTGACGTCCACTACCAAAGACATCATGTGTGTGTGTGTGGGTGGGGGGTGTATAGTGTTTGTCGTCGTATTGTCTTTCTCCGTACTGTCTGTCTCTCATTTGCATTATACACACATGTTCGTTGTAAATACATTCAGTCCTTGTCTTGTCCCGCAATGGACTCCTGCTTGGCTTGTAGGCCAAACACAACAGGGGGTGTTCCACTCCCATCACTGTTTGCTACGTCAGTGCCCTGTGGACAGGCGCTCAAAGACGAAGGACTGCATGGCACGCACTGGTCTATAGCGCTCTTTTTTCTACGCCTGGCATTAACCGATTCTTAACACTGAATTCTTTGATTAGCACTAGTTGACGCTGTTTGGGTGCATGGGGACAGTTGTCAGCTGAAACAGAACATATTTGTCCGCGTTGTAAAACACGGTCATGTGTGGCACTTCTCCTAAGAGCAATAGTTCATAATCCGAAGACTGTGCAACTCCCACATGCAGCACGGTCCAGACAGGGTTTATTTAAAGTTGTCATCGATTTTAAAATTCTCCTCATCAACCGATTTGTGGTGTTTGTACTATCTATCATCACAGCACATGAGTTCCCTCGCACAGGTAGGTGCAGGATCAAGCAGGGTTTGGTCCTACAGTTGTCTGGGATATAGCTGATCATACGTTCACACCGCTGTTGCATTATTAAATTGACGTCGACTGGAAGTATTGTCGGGTCAGCAGTGATGGTGGCGTTGTACACTCTCGGGTGTTTCGTACTCTAATTAACGATAACGGCTCGACTGCAATCCATAGATCTATTGCCCCGTTCTAAGTACACAAGCGCACAGATTATAACTTACGAGACATGACTTTGAATATCTCTGCAACAAAGCAATGTCTTGGAAAGGCTACACGATTCTGGAAGCTGAAACAGAAGAGAGAAACATTCCTTATCAACCACTGGAAACAGCAGCCCCTGAATAAATAGTTTCTTGCTACATCTCAACACAAATCCGGGTTCTTCTATAACCTGGCATGGTAGTTGAAGGTGAACACAGGTGCAAAAAATACTATGAGTTACCTTTTTCTGTCACTCAGGCTATTGTGCAACATATATTGTGTACAGAAAGAACAGTCGTGGAGTTCTACTATCCGAAGAAGTTGGATATTGAGTTTCCAGGCACGTAGCTGGTCTCACTTTTAGAGGGGGGGGGGGGGGGGTGCACGGCCGCATATGTGTAGGATGGCAGGTGCATGTCATTCATGGTCATTATGTGCATGCTGAACCTAGGTCCACATTTTTAGGAGGGGGGGGGGGGCACGTGCCCTCCGCGCCCCATGCGGGCTACATATATGAGCTATCGTTAAAAATGAATTTCTTATGGGGGCCTTTGAAGTTCTGATATAAGGCCATGGTAAAAAATAAATTTGATTCTCAGGTCATGAGCCTGTGAAAATCGGTGCGAGCAAGCGATTTTTTATTTTATTTCCCACATTTTTTTATTTCCAAAGTTAGGGTCACACATTTGTACGTCACAGGTTATTATAATTATTTCATTATTCATGCCAGGGAGTAGAAAAATACCGGTATTTTACTACTCCCTGATTCACGCCTTTCGCATTGACCGTTTTTATGTGCGCATATGCATGCATAGAAATAAAAAAATCATCGGTGCGCCGCCAAAAATCGGTGCGCCGCCAAAAATCGGTGCGCGCGTACTTGAGAATCAAATATAATTTTTAACATGGCCTAATTGTGGAGTAGGCAGTGAACTTACTTCCTCCAGGAAGAAGACACATTTTTTCAGCTAAAATCTGTGAAAACGTCGACCTTGCCATGTTAACACTTTCAATATTTTTGTCGTAAAACAAACATACCCGTGACCCCTTCGTTGCGTAAAACAAACAGCTGCTCAAAGAAACAAACAGGGCTATATCCAATCCACAAGATTACCTGCAGCGTCAAATCGACATTTAGTGCTGCCAACCTTTTGTATTTTCTGTTTTTGCACGGAAAATCACTCCTTCATCCGCACTACGGAAAATGGACGGGGATCGGTCAGCTACGTAGAATCATGAAAAGTGCAAGTTGAGTGATGATAATCCGTCTGCCAAGGCAAGTGTATTCTGTGCTACGACTACACAAAATCAAATCGTGGTGCAAATCACACATGTTTTTGTACTTGCGAAAACAGCAACGCATATGCCTAGCGCCTGTGAGTGTCCAAAAAATCGCTACACAAGAAATGCACACGACAGTATCATGCACACACATTGGCAGTACGAAAAATATGCAAAATACTGAAAATCAGAAGTCGCAGTATCCAAAGCCGACCCAATTAGTTGGCAGCCGGGGAAATTTCAGACATCAGCTTCAACGGTGTTCTCCTCTGGAACGCACTTACCGCTGAAACACGATGACTCGACAAGCTGAAGGCCTTCAATTGCCGACTACTGGCAGCAATCTAGCCCCCCCCCCCCCCTATTACCAACCATTATCTATCAGTATCCTATTATCATCCAGTATTATTGCCTCATATACCGACTCATGGCCAGGAATCGAGGACATCTGAGAGTTGTAATTTTTGTACTCCTCCGAGGTGTGATTTTTGGCGTGCTGGGCCAAGCACAAGGAAGCTATCTGCAAAAAAACTGCAGAAAAATAATGGTTGTTGTTTGATCCTTTGGTGTAATCTTTGTTTCTAGTCGAAGCTAGTTGCTGTTTGGAGCAGAAACGCTGAAATTGACTATTTTCTGCATGTACTCATACATGTACTCATGTACTCAGGCATGCAGTCTCACTCGTATTTTAGCTCTTTTTCTGGAATGGATGCTGCTCTGCGCCCCTTGGTGAACATTTCCTGCGCTCGTGGAGCAGCTGAAAAGGACCACTGGTATGTCTGGTTCCTGGTTTGAAAGTGGAGAGTCGACTTTTGTGTCTTGAAAAAGGAGTAGAGAGCGATAAAGGTACGTCTGTGGCTGATTTTTGAGTGCTCCTCGTACATTTTTGATCGTGATAGAAATTCTCAGCCCAAAGTCAGACCAAAGTCAGCGCGATGATGGTCGTACAGTTTTCTTGTGGATTTTTTAGTTGTTTCATCTCGTATCTATGTCAGTATCGTGATGGTGAAGTGGAGAGGGTGATTTTCTTCCTCTAGGCTTCGTTCGGCCGACTTTGCTTCGTCCTCGTTGAAAAGTGATGCTGAAAAAAAGGTCGATTCGCAAAATTATGTTGATTTTCAATGTACGTGATGACATGCGATTGCTGGCTATGTGTTCTTGTTGCTGCTTGCAGTGCGGCCTGAACCATTACTGATGTTAGAACTGGGCCATTTCCTTCCGCCATGCCGGTCTTTTGTAATTCTTTTAATCTTTTGTACTTCTGTCTTTTTTCATCTCCTCTTCATTCGCTTTTCTACAGTAGTGCCATTGTCACTAGGCAATTTGGCTGATCTGCTTGCCACTCTAAATAAATACAATAGAGAGGTAAAGATGCACGTTATTTCTGACGTGACGCGAAAGCTCAGCTCGCTCTGTTTGGCTGGCGCGTCGGAAAACAATGCGAGTGACCTGCAGCTCACGTCGAAATTTGCAGTTTTACACCAAATTTGTTGTGAAATTGCGCGTCACGACGGAAATAACGTGCATCTTAAGAGAGCATGTCTGAGAATACCAAAGTATGTGTGCAAGTGGATCTCTCCGATTTCGCTCAAAATTTGCAGGTAGGTTCCCTTTGGGGTGTGGATTGATTGTGCAAAGCCCTTGAAAAAGTTTCTGAAGGGAACCTTGAAATTTGGATACCCCCCCAGAAATGGCCGAAATATCACATTATTTATGGGTCTAGAAACGAGTCACGCCACAGCGTATACGAACAAGCTATGAACAAAACTCCATCAAGCCAACATTGCCTCACCTTAGAAGAGTTCCTGGAGCAGTACCGCTTAGCCACGCCAGGATCCCAGAAGACGAGGTCCATCACCCCCCGACGCCACAAATGATCGTCTTGAAAATAGCCAATTTACAAGCGGTGGCAAAACAGCCAGCTACGTCCTCAATTGGCCAGAACTATACACCGGCAGATAGTAGAACACCTCTTCTAGCGCTGAGGACATGTCTCCCATCTTCCTTTTGGCGTTTTCTTGAAATAAATGTTTTTGAATTTTTCCACTCGACCATGCTGGAATACGGCCAAAGTCATACCTGCGCGGCAAAAGCTCGCCCCTCCGCGACGTCTCCTCAGCAATTTCTACTCCAACACTACTCCCAAGGCCGCAGAACAAAGCGTATTGTTGCCTCTGACAAGGAAAAGCAGTGGTGATCACTTGTCACTCCAAACGACAAGCTTCTCCTTGCGCCACCAATAATTTTTGTGCGACTGTTGATGCAAAAGTGACTGAAGGCATGAGCGCAATTCTTGAATTTTACTACAAGAGGCACAGTGAAATCACGTGCCTTGTGACGCAAGAATGCCAAGTTGCGTGGATCATGGCTCACCAGATTTCAGAGTCACCTTCGTCAAGTGCGCTTGTTACTCGCCTTGAACGCCCGTTGGTCTGGAAGTGATCACACTTGTGTTGTTACTGCGCTCAAGAACACGCTGACCGTGTTGTAGGCCTACGAACCGGGACTTCCCCTGACCATGTAGGTCGAAGACCAGTGAAATGGTGATGAAATCACATTCTTTATGACGTAAGAGATCTCTCACGCAGTTCACGCGACAAGTTCGTGCAGCCAGTGCTGCTCGCGTGCCAGTCAACACAAAGCGACCGAGCTAGCAGCTTTTGTCGAGCATCGACATGAAAACAAGGGACTTTTACCGTTGGACTATGTTCGGGATTGCAGGAGGTAAGTGTGAAAGATGAATAACTCTCCATGCTGTACGGGGCATATTTCAATGGCTTGCTGCCATTGCAACACTCCTAGGACAGTTTGTGAGGTTTCTCAGTAGATCAAGCAGGAAATACAGCTCATCTTACCTCTTCCATCATGGTCTGTTCCGAGTAGCGTTCCAGTCACGTTCGCGATCGATGGCCGAGTGTCGTGATCCAGGAAGCGTTATCCTACGTCACAGAGCATGCGATCTCATCGTGCATCTTGCAATAAAATTCAAAAACTGCGCTCATGCCTTCAGTCACTTTTGCATCAACAGTCGCACAAAATATTATTGGTGGCGCAAGGAGAAGCTTGTCGTTTGGAGTGACAAGTGATCACCGCTGCTTTTCCTTGTCAGAGGCAACAATACACTTTGTTCTGCGGCCTTGGGAGTAGTGTTGGAGTAGAAATTGCTGAGGAGACGTCGCGGAGGGGGCGAGCTTTCCTGCAGGTATGACTTTGGCCGTATTTCAGCATGGTCGAGTGGAAAAATTCAAAAAAGTTTATTTCAAGAAAACCCCAAAAGGAAGATGGGGGACATGTCCTCAGCGCTAGAAGAGGTGTTCTACTATCTGCCGGAGTATAGTTCTGGCCAATTGAGGACGTAGCTGGCTGTTTTGCCACCGCTTTATAAATTGGCTATTTTCAAGACGATCATTTGTGGCGTCAGGGGGTGATCGACCTCGTCTTCTGGGATCCTGGCGTGGCTGAGCGGTACTGCTCCAGGAACTCTTCTAAGGTGAGGCAATGTTGGCTTGATGGAGTTTTGTTCATAGCTTGTTCGTATACGCTGTGGCGTGACTCGTTTCTAGACCCATAAATAATGTGATATTTCGGCCATTTCTGAGGGGTATCCAAATTTCAAGGTTCCCTTCAGAATTTGCTTCAAGGGCTTTGCACAATCAATCCACACCCCTAAGGGAACCTACCTGCAAATCTTGAGCGAAATCGGAGAGATCCACTTGCACACATACTTTGGTATTCTCAGACATGCTCTCTTAACGTCTCTTCTATCATACATTACCACGCTCAGACCTAGAGTTTTTTTTTACTGCGCATAGTACAGCATGAAAGCAACCAGTTCCAGAGTTGTGCACACTCAAAGCCTCTCTCCTACATTTCTAATCACAGAAAAAAGTTTGTTTTTCACTCGCACCAGCAGCCTATTCTGGGCATAATAACACGCCTCGACAGGGTATGGACAGCTTTACTGTCATCCTGAGACAGTTTGGGACTGCAGTTTAGAGTCAGGAGGGTGATTCGACAGACCGCTAGTGACAGAACTTCAGAAGACACAAAAAGAACTACACGCGCGTTGGTTTTTAGAGCGTTTAGTTCGGAAGCAAAGACATAGTTTCATTGTGTTCAAACCTCTTACCTAATCGATCAGTCGTCGTTGGTGTTCCTCAATCTTGGCTGTCAAGTTTCAGCATCCAAAGCCAGACGGATATCGCCACAGCTATTGCCAATACTCAAGTGTCGCTAAAGAAATATTATCCCTTACAGGTTTTTGAACAAACTAACTAATTTCTTTGGCTGAAAACTTAGGTGGGAGCCAGCATTCTGAGCTCTCCCTCTCTCTTTCTGAGCCTTTGATGAGACTTTGACTATTCAGCGAATCGCTGGAGCTGCCTCTCTGATCACTGACGGGCAGAAAGTGTTGGTAAAAAATGTTTCAGACTTGTGCAATCGATCGAGTCCAACTCACATGATCGCGCGGTAGATCTACTGCCTGTACTGGTAATGGTAGTAGACCTACTCCATTGTGCTACTATTATGTACTAGTAGTACTAGCACTAGTCCTGCCTGCAGGGTGTTGTGGAGATCAGGGAGTCCACTCGATCGTACTCCCTGGCCTGGTGTACAATGACCACGTGTAGCACTACGTAGTGGTACTACTACTAGCAAGAATGTGGGGATATAATACTACTAGTGATCATGGTGATGAATGATTGTCAAATATTTGTGTCCAGATGTGGACCAACTCGACTCATGTACTCAATAATCAATGAAATCGACAGTCAGCGTAGATGCCGTCATGTCATGCTTTACTGCCTTTAGTTTACAGTTTAGACTAGATAAGAGTTGTGTGACTCGAGGTGCAGGCTAGGCTAGGCTGGCAGTGCAGAGTACCGGTACTAGCGGTAGATCTACGCGGTAACGGTACGGCGGTAGTGCATGCACTGGTTGCACCCTACCAGTGTGCTGACAGTGCAGTGCAGCTAGTGGTCAACACCACGGCCGAGGCGCTAGGCTAGGCTAGGCTAGGCAGAGCGTGTAAATCATGGTAATAGTACGGTAGTCTATATCTACGTAACAACAAGGGCAATCAAGGCTTAATTCAATCATAACTGACATCATAATAATTATGATGTCAGTTATGATTGAAGCCTTGATTATCAGGAAACACCATCTCCGTCTTTCGAAAACCAAACTTGAAACTAACGTTACTTTAGGCTGCAACCACACTACGTACAAAATCAAGTACGCGTTTGCGTTCAGCTTTTAGATAACGCAAAGTCGCATCCACACAGCCATTTCATGCGCAAAGAATCCTTGCGTTTTGTCTGCATTTCTGGGTCCCAGAAAAATCGCGCTGTGAAAATGTATGTACTACATGTAGTAGTAGTTTGAAAAAGAGTCGCGAGCGCCTTGATATACACGTTCAAGGCCTCGGTCATCTCCTTCTCTCGGATGGTCCGCTCCAGACTGTCATCTGGCCCTGATTCGTCTTCATGGTACGCTGCCCCAAGCTGCATGAGCTTCTCAATTCCAGATTATCAGCGAAATACAATGTAGTTGCGCGGCATCTCGAACTAACAACAGCAGGCAACGGGACTGTCCGGAAATTATACTGAAAGCAAAGCCCTGGCAGATGAAATCTCAAATACTACAAACTACACTGACAAGGAAGCCGTCTACTACCGATACAGTGCAAGCCTCAACAAGAAACATCTACCCGTATGAAGAACCGAGCGAAACGCAAGGAAAAGGCGAAAAGTTGCTTTCTACAGGGGTACCCGGTTTGCTGAAACGAAACGCAGCACGTTTTGCGTTTCGTACGCGTTTCCTTGACGACATAAGCAGAAAAGTTGCGTTTACGCAGTTTTGTACCTAGTGTGGTTGCAGCCACAAACAAGCCCCTGTTGTTCCGTACTTCAGCAATGAAAAGCTGTATCATAGTAACACAGAACGGTAGTTACTTTTGTTGTACGTACATCGTATGCTGTATTTTAGTGCTGCGGTGACGCTTTGCTGCTATGCCGCATATGCCCTCACCATATCATGTCATGATAAAAACTCAAGAGTCCAGGCTGTGCCACTGCCAGACGGCCCAGAGCCTCAGAGGTGGTAGGCACAACCCGTGTGCTGAATCATGCCAACGTACATGTACATTGTACATGTACATCGACAATCAATCGAACTGTCAACCACTGAAAAGTCAAGACAGTCATTTTACTTGTCTATAGTGAATTATGAATAGTCTTTTTGCTTGAAAGACTACAAACAGTTTGGAGTGACAAGACGACACCGAGGATTCGTGAAAGCCCGGGGTTTCACTCCTTGTGTAGTGTCTGCCAACCTGTTCGTGTCTGAAGCACTTAGCATGTACATGTGAACTACAAGTAGCTAGTAATACCAGGAGGTTGTGTGATGACTGTTCAGTGATACTGATAGAGCTAGAGATACTACACTCGCCCCTCCTCCGTTGAGACACGTCCTCGTGTCTACGGGACGGGTGTTCGTGAAAAGACAGACACATGCATCTAGAATGTGTGAAGAATTTGTCTCTCTGTTGAGTGGGAAAATGTACATGTATGTGTTCGCGTCTCCATTGGACGGTAAAAGGGATGTGTTCCATCGCGTCACTCTTATTGTGGACGGTAATAATTCTTGACTCTCGTCTCTCTGGGACGGTACAACTGGAAAGGACTCGCTCACCATGTGGCGGTATAATCATTGTTACTTGTACACGTACATGGACTGGTTAGTTGGGTGCGTGCTTGCAGGGTATACAGTATTTTGGGTCTGAAACGGATTGCGTGGTCGGAACGGGGTGGACATGATCGGGATGGGTAACGAAAAGGCTAGGAAACTTTGTGGTCAGACCTGGGAGAAAGCGGTTGTAGGGGAGTGTCAGTGGGACGGAATGTTGGGCGATCTAGAACTGTGTACAGTCCGTATCGCCTATAAGGTTGGCGGCTATAGTAATATACCGGATATAGTGATCAATTTCTCAAATTCATTTTCATTTGCCATAACTAAGTATACACAGTTATCGCATATAGCAATACAGTGTAATCGTCTATGGTAATATATCGCCTATAGTGATCAAATTCATATTTCAAAACACGTTTATTACACTATTTTCGCATCGGTTATAGTGAGTGATGTAAAATCAAGCGATGTCAGAGGAGAACAGGGTGTTACTTCTTCGTGAAGAACTTGTCCAGTGAGTGTTGTTTGGTGAGTTTTGCTTTTACAAGTTGCCAAATATGCCTCCATCATGAGGAAATCCTGATTTTGTGTGTCAGGTGCTACAGCCAGCTACATGACATTGTACACGTACATGTACATGTATGTAGTACGTATGTGCAGGGCGCGCTGAGTCGTTTGACACCCCACTCGCATACATTGCAAGCAGTATCGGTCATAGTGTAACGTGCGTGGTCTAAGGCTAGGAGGCTACTACCCACAGTCAGTCAACTAACATATCAGAACTTACTCCGGCACGGCCTGGAGGTTATCTTATATCAAAGTGAAAGTGAACTTGCTCTCTCTCTGATCTCTCTCCTCTCTCTCTGATCTCTCTCTTCCGTATGAGATGCAAACTAGAGAACTTATAGTTATACAGAATCTAACAAGGCCGTTGGCAAGGGGGCCAGCTAGGAAGCTTCAGCTGGGGTCTATTGCGGGAAACAAGCAGCAGGCAGCAAAACAGCTAAAGAATGTATGCGATAGTGTAGCAAGCAATCTGGAAATGCCATTGATTACTCGCAGCGCGCATCAGTGCTACAAAGGAAGCATTGGAGCATGAGACTGATATCACAGTGAAGATAAGTCCATACAACTGCACAAGGACCTCTTGCAAATGAAACATAGCGGCACAAGTATTGTATTTGGAAACAATGAAGACTGTGTTGGTCTAGCTACTCTCCAGTGTGTAGTGGCGCCATGCAAGGATCATGGAAGAATAATCGTAAATGTAGGAAGTACTGTATTCTTCTAAACAATAAGAGTCATGCAAAATACATGTACTACTAGTCATGTGTAAACTGTAAAGCAGGGATACTACAATAGTAATATATCGCTTATAGTGATAATAATAATAATAATTCGCGGGATTCGCGTTGGCATCGCTTGAATGTTCAGAAACACACAAACTAGCCTTCGCTTCCGCAGGCCACCACTATGCCTATGCCTTGCACACCTGAGTGGCGAATGCAGACCTCACAAGTGAGTCAGGGGAGAGTAGGTGAGTCTCTCAACCAATCGGGCGTGTAACGGCCCATAACCCTGTAAACTGCATCCTTGTTACCCTCACTCCGAGCTGTGAGTACCCAGTTGACCGTGGGTGTCGGCGCAGTTCACCACGCATAAAAAGTCTTTACTCACGTAAAAAGTCTTTGCACGCTCCCTGCTACCAGCGCGGGTCTCGAACTCGGGACCTCATGATTCGCGTGATAAAATGCTCAAAATCAAACACCAACGCTATAGGCGATACTGACTGTACTTCATGTATCTGGACGGACAGGAAGGTATATGGAGGGTTGTGAGTCCTAGGCTGTTGATCGAATGGTGTGACGGGGACTGGGGCTGGGATTGTCTGTGGGATGGGGTTGCTGTAGGAACGTGGAGGGCCTTGTGTATAGCGTGTAGTGTAGCAAACAAACTAAATGTGAGAGATGTTAGCAGGGGAACAACTTTGGCAGCAGAACGAGTTAGTGATAGGGATATGGCAGCGAGGAGCATAAGAACAGAATGGAAACTACTGCTGGATGGGGGAGCTTGCATAATACGCGGCGTAGCTTGCACGATAGGGGTGGCATGTGTACTAGTAACAGTTGCATTTGACCGGGTTGATGATTGAGTAGGGATACAGCAAGAAGGGTGACATACCTGGGTTGAAGGGAAGATGTGCCGTGTATCGCGACGACGATAGCAATACGCAATGGCATGGCCAATCTGCTTGCAGTATCGGCAATATGGGCGAAGACGAAAGGGCCGACGTCGCTTGGGTCGTACATATACCTGTGGCTGTAGTCCAGGGACATACCGGGCATGGAAACTCGCTGAAGAATGATGGTGATTAGGCCTCCGCGGAATATGCCGGCATAATTTCGGGAATTATCGGTGTGATTTTTAAAACGGGAATTATTGGCAATTTTTGTGGAATAATCGGTAAAATTTGAGCAATGCCCGCCTTTTTTCAATTTTTTCCATTTTAACACCCTGATTTGTACCAAAAAGCTTGTGATCCTGAATGAGTTGATCGCCCGGTATTTCAAAAGAGAAAGAAAAAAAAGTTTCCAGCCGAGTTTCACGCGAACCGTGATTTTTTTGCTCGTACAAGTGGCAAAAAACCCCTGTATCTGCAAAAAAGGGAAGAAAAAAAGCATTATTGTGAGAATTATTGGTGGAATTACGGGAATTATCGGAC